GTCAATCGAAATTCTTATCTTACTTAGTATTGTAAAAATCTTTTGTAGTTTCTAAGGCAATAAAGAAAAAGCTAAACATTAATCAGTATGATTACAGATCTTATCATCAGCATTTTTCAGTTTTGATGTGAATTATATACATGTGTTTATTATAGTATCGGAATTAGCTGAAAATGTATTATGAATTGACTCTTAAATATTATTTCATCATTTATTAATTTCACACTAGAGATCATATCAGGTGGCAGATATATTGTTTTAAATAATGTGTGTTGATGACCGTGATTTTCAGATAACTTATTGTATAATATATATGTGTAAATGTCATATCTTTATTCATATACCTTAGTGCAAGAAAATACAATATATTTAATTTAAACTGCACTTCTTACCAAGTTACTGTTTTTCATCATTTTGCAAAAAGAAGCTAAAACACAAAGAATGAAGAGCCCATAAAGCTGATGCTAGTTGACTCAGATTTAGCCAGTTCTGTGTCAGTACAACGTTCACACTTTGTCAACAAAGAATGAGTATTTTCAGTCTTGAATATTATATATTACAACTGATATAATAACTGATTATATAGGACTTTTTAATATTTCTCATGGATGTTATTTTGTGTTGTTTTAAAAATAATTCTACTTGGAAAAACATTGAGAGGGATAAGACATGAATGTTAAACTAAACTAATTTGTCTAATATCTCATAAATATATGAATAACTCGTTTGGCAATTTCTTAAACACTATATCATGGTGGGTTTTTTAAACTTTGTGTGTCTAAGATCTACGCCGTCATAACCACTGCCGTGTATTTTATGTGGCAGAGCTGCAGATCAGCAGTGACACTGTGGTGACACGATCTGAAATCGCAGCTAACCCTACACACAGTTCCCATGCTTGGTGGTCTCCAGTTTCTCAGCACAGTCTTCCTGTTTGTCTAATTTTTGAAACAAACCCTGAAGTTCCTGTGATCTGCTGCTGTTAGGAAGCACAAACCTGCAGAGATTCAAGGCATGAATAGAAAGAAAAATGCAAGAAAGGTCGTTATTGGCCAAATCTCCTTGTGAGGATTTGGGACTCATCCCCACTCAATACAATTAAATATTTCATCTCACTGAGCAGAAAACTAAAATATCCTTCTAATTTTAAGGAAGTGGTAATATCCATATTTTTCATTACATATATTATATAGAATAATATAGTGTAGTGTATAAATATATAAAATAAACATTTACATCTGGATATCTGTCTATTTGTATATAATATAATTATAAAATCTTGTAGATTTGGCCACATAGATCCTATGGAATAAATTGGTCCTGGCAGCTTTACATGAAATGCTTCATCCTAGTGGTATGCAGGCCATAGAATTTCTCCCCTGTTCACTTTGTTTAATTTGTTTTTATTTTCTAAAAGAGACACAGCATAATCTCTGAAGGATTGACATTAGGAAAGTTCTTAATTATGATATATATTGTCCTAATCATGCAAATATGTCGTACCCATTACCCTATCTGTTTCCATAATCTTGAAATGTTTCTAATTAGATTCTTCATGGAACAATGGACTCAAATGTGCACTCTTTGAAACGCAGCAGATTCAATGCTAATAAGCAGAGATCAGAAGCTAACAGAGTTTAGAAATGTAAATACAGCCTGCCGTTTTTGTAACCTGAAAATGCTGCTGTTTTCTTTCTTATTCATATCGTCTGGTCAAATGCTTTCTTCTCCTTCTCATGGGATCACCATTTGAGGTGAACGTTGTTTCCTTTGTCAAATTCATTCTAAGGTTCCTGTCAATTAAATAAGTCATTTTCTTCAACAAAGCTAAAAGTTTAACGGAATTCCATAATTGTTCCTTGTCCATTAAGTAGGAATTAAGTGAAAAACGAGACATTATAAAGTACATTTGGTGTCTGTTCTGGTAGTATGTCTTCTCCAGTGAGAATCATTTTTTTTCTTTTGGTGGAGGAATGCAATCATGTTGATCCTAAACGGACTGCTGAGAGAGAGTAATAAAACAACAACAACGAAACAATTAGCTGCTAAGTGTAAATAGCTGCCCAAGCTTTTTCAAAGACCCATTTTAGCTACGTTAAAAATAAGCAAATAAGAAAATCCAGCAGGTCCACCTAGCATGCTATTCTTCCATGTTCTGTCCTCTAAGTTTTAAATGAAGCCATTTTCAATGTGAAATTTAAATCATGGTACATCACAATAATGAACAAAAGAGATACTATCATTAGTTATATGTGAGGCATTGCAATTTATCTAATTATCTAATATAATTTTATAATTATAATTATCTAACATACTTTCACCCTGTATTCACTGTTTTATAACTTTAATAGTATTGATTAGTCCATTTCTAAAAAAATTTGTTATTCATACTTGTGACTGATTTAAATATGAATATTTTCAATAGAGTTGAATATAGATTAAATATAACTTACCATAACAACAGGCATTGGTGGGCAATAGAGGTGGCAGAGCAGTTAAGAATACTTGCTGTATAATGATGAATATGTGAGATCAAGTCATAGAATGCATTTAGCTAGAGGCATGTCCTGCAAATGCCCATAATTACATCACAGGGTATCCAGCACTCTCTTACGACGGAATGTGCACAAGCACAAACATCTGCGTATACCCATGTGCACATAGTTATGCAGACAAGTGCACATTTTTAGGAGAAATAATAATTTTGAACACAAATATTAAAATATACTTAGTTGCCACTGGAATAATTAGAAATTATAGTTTGCTAGGTACTGACACTTTAAGTCCACAAATAAATATGAATCTTTCCATGGAATACCATAAGTCCCCTTAAAGAATAGAATTACTCTGGTTAAATTTATGGGTTCAGAATACTTTTCATCACTCTGCAACCCCAAGCAGCACCATTTGTAAATATCTATAAAGAGTGAATCATTGAATGATGTTCTTGATTCCTTTGTATTATTTTCAACAGTCTTACATAGTATTATAAAAAGTTAAATGAAGCCGGGCCGTGGTGGGGCACGCCTTTAATCCCAGCACTCGGGAGGCAGAGGCAGGCGGATCTCTGTGAGTTCGAGACCAGCATGGTCTACAAGAGCTAGTTCCAGGACAGGCTCCAAAACCACAGAGAAACCCTGTCTCGCAAAAAAAAAACCAAAAAAAAAAAAAGTTAAATGAACAAATTTTTCATTGTGTTGAAACAACTCAAAAACATTCCTACTTTTTATAATCATTATGTTACGATGATCCAGCGATTAACTGATATGTAAAGTTTCCTTGACATACACAGATTATTTGAATAATAATAGTTTAAGAATGAATTGAAATTGGAACGAACATGATCTTTAAAGCATCATTGCCAAATGACTATTAGAGCAAAATAACTTTGTCTTGGCTATATTTAGAGCCTGTGAAAAATATGTTTCCTAAGACCTAGACAAATAATTTAAATGCTAAACTGTGTGTGTATGTGTGTGTACACTCAGTGAGCACTAAGCCTTCTCCCCTGGTCTCATATCCATATATATTACTTTGATGGTTTCCTGTCTTCTGAGATAAATATGCTCCTGAAATCCAACAACCTGATAAGGAGAAAATATGCAATATTCAAACACAAAATAAAATGCATTTATATGCATTTTCCATATACCTGCATACATATGTGTACCTATAGAGACACAGCTATGCACGTATATGTTTATGAACGTGTATATGCTTATCATATATAAGAACATATATACACTCATTACACATATTTGTGTTGAGTACACATATGTATATATATTTTTAAATCTAGATAGCAAAATAGTATTTATTCCATTTAGTTTAATATAAGACTTTAATATATACGAATTTCCTGAAACTTGTAGGAAGGTAAAATACAGAAGAAAAAATTTCTACTTAGGTTCAAGTCTATGAAAGCTAAAATTAAATGATAAAAAGCCAATTTAAAATGATAAAGTATGAGGCACATCTAGCAGAAGCTGAAATTATGATGACCGTGAAGTGGCTTTTGGAGTTATTCCCTAAACAAAGGAAAAATATTTTTCCCTCTGGATGCTTCAATCTTTCACCAGCAACTCTCAGTGTCAAAATCCTCCCACAGTGGTTCAAGGGAGTCAGATCTCCAGGATCCGGAGCAGAACTGAAAAGAAAGGCTGTGAAATGGCTCTCAGGTGCTGATATGGGAAAGAAAAAGGTTGCGTGACATTGTTATTTTGTTGAACAAAAATATTTACTAAGAGACTTGGTGAAACCTCTCCCTTTGTGTGTTCAATGACTGGGTATATATTTCTTATTTTTCTCCAATAACAGAATCTTAGAGTAGATGGTATGAGAGAATTGAACTTTACTCTGATTTTTATCATATCATAAAAATATTCCACCTGTGTTTGATTGCACTTTTCTGAGATGATTTTTACCGTAGTGGTCACATATCATGTTAGCTGATTTACATTGTTTACTGAAGATTTCTCCATCATTTATAGATTTATAATTTAACACTATGCCTCATACATAGCTCCAAAATTAATTTTGTGAGTGGATCAGTTTCTTCAACTGACAGTGTACTTTCTTTAAAGGGTAAAGTATCTATAAAATTTGATACAGAGCAGTAATTTCATTTTTGAACTTAAAATTATCATTAGAATGTATTATACATCTAAATACAAGACTTTTGCATATTTAATTTGCTCATAGTTTATTACAATACACCTAAATTTGTACCTACAAATGCTTCCTACTCAGTGTAAGGTTCCTGCCCAACCCATGACTAGACAGTACCTGGGTAGTGCTTTCTTTTCATTATTATTCCAATCTTGCTTCGCGTTTAAAGGGCGGCACATTCAACTTCAGTCTGATTTTTAGAGGAAAAGAAGAAAAGATCTCTCATGAAAAGCAGTAACGTCCCTTCTTGATGTGAAACTTATGTCTGAATTAAACGTGTCTAGATTTTTACTTTTCCTCCTAAATATTGATTTTTATTATTTTCTTTGCAGACGTTTGGAACAGAACTCCATCAGGGCCATCCCTCCTGGAGCTTTCTCGCCATATAAAAAGCTCAGAAGAATGTGAGTTAATAGTGTTGTGCAAGATATATCATTTTGTAAATTGTGTAGGTCAGGGCTGTGTAGGAAGAACTAAGCATGGATATTGAAGAGATTGACAGCTTGATGACAGTCTGAGGGCCAGTTGTATAATGGCACTTTAATTGTAGTAGTGAAACCTTATAATTTTTAATGTTCTCTGTAATTTAGTGTACTGATCGCCACAAAAGTGGTCGTGGCATCTTTGGTATGCTACTGTCTAATTAAGCCACGCCATCCTTACTAATAACTTAAGCAAATGGATACTAGTTGTTTTGACAGTGTGTGATTCATCTTTTAAGTTTTAGGATCATCTAATATTTTTGTTGAATGTTGTTCATGTCTTCATAGACAATGTGTACGAGTAAATCCTCTTCTCGTGAAGTCAATGTGCCTGGCGACTCCCATGTCATTTAACCTAACCTTTTCTCTGTGTATAGAGACCTGAGCAATAATCAGATCTCGGAGCTTGCCCCAGATGCCTTCCAGGGACTGCGCTCTCTGAATTCACTGTGAGTAGCCACAGATTTTCCCAAGGGAAACCAAAATTTTCTCCACAGTCAAAAGTTTATAAATTTTCAGATTAAGACAAGAGAAAAATATCCTTTCATTCTTTGATGAGCTGTGAATTCTTAACTATAGTTGTTGTCTGTGGACTTCATCATCTCACAGAGGCCTGCTGTCTAGCTCTAACACCAGCCAGTTTTTAGGCAGATTTTTTTTTTTTAACTTTGTTATTAAAAGAGAAGATTTCCATTTGGGGAATGTTTTCCCGGCTGTCATGAGTGAACAGTTTATTTTATTATTATTATTATTTATTTTTTATTAAAAATTTCTGCCTCCTCTCCGCCTCCCATTTCCCTCCCCCTCCCCCCACTCCTCTCTCCCTTCCTCTCCAGTCCAAAGAGCAGTCAGGATTCCCTGCTCTGTGGGAAGTAAGCACTCTGGCAACTCTAGATTTGTGGTCTCTTAGTCCCTAGCAGCTTGTGCCTGAGCACAGTGCTGGTCCTTTTAGGATGAGGAAGGCCAAGTGTTGCTGAGGACAAATAGGCATGGGACCCATCATTGAATCCTTCCTTCCTCACAGGAGCATCTCCCCGCCCCACCCCCCAATTAGCCTCATAATAAGCATTAGTTATAAAGGTCAAGAGGAATTTAAGGAAGATAGCTATCCAGGAGACAGTCTTTAAAAAGTTACTAAAGGTTACCCTTCTTTTATAAAAACTTTTCAGAGTTTATCAAGTAAAATAACCTTTAGCTATTTTATAATTTGGATGTAGAGTCTGGTTAACTTATTTATTATTTGTATAGAGTATACACTATGGACATCCTCTCAGTTTCTAGAGTCAGTTCCTCCCTCCTCTGGTGGTGCAGTATCTCTTAATAAGTAGAACAAAATCTGTTTCCACAAGTTTCTTTCATACTTCACCCTTTAAGTTATTTCTAGAAACATCCTCAAGTGTCTATTTATATTAATTTGATTAATGCATCTGTTGTGGGGAGGCCGCTTGTTTCCTGGCCACCCAGCAGCTCAGACTCCTGAAATAATCACACAGCAACTATATTATTTAAAACACTGCTTGGCCCATTAGCTCTGGCTTCTAATTGGTTAACTCTTACATGTTAATTTAACCCATCTCCGTTAATCTGTGTGTCACCACGTGGCTGTGGCTTACCAGCTAAAGTTCTGACATCTATCTCTGGTGGGGCTACATGGCTTCTCCTGAACTCTATCTCCTTTCTCCCAGCATTCAGTTTAGATTTCCCTGCCTACTGCTATTCCCTGCACAGGCGCAAGACAGTTTCTCTATTAAGCAATGGTATTCACAGCATACAGAGAGGAATCGCACATCATACATCTACTGAAACTGTGAAAATATTTTAAATAAGACAATATCAAATACCTCTACAGATTTTTTATTAAAGAACTAAACATAAACAATTTGAAATTGGTATTTACTAAAATATTCCCATGTCTTAGAGAAGACATGATTTGTACAGCAATTTTAAAGGCCATTCTTAGTATGTATAAAATCATTTGATATTATTAGCATAACACTTACTAATTTTTGGTATAACATTATACCCCAACTTATTAATTTGTTAGAATATGCATTGTCAGAAAAATATCTTTTAAAAATCATACACTAATGGAATGATTTTATCCTTGGGGACAGAAAACGATTGCATTTTATATTTATTTATGTGCATAGGTGTGCTGTTGTGTTGTGTGTATGGGTGGAGAACAGAGGACATCTTATAGGAGTTCCTCCTTTCCTTTTACCTGTGGACCCCTGGGATGCACTCGTGTCCACAGTTTGTGCAGCCCCTTTGCTACCTTGGGCCATCTCACTGTCTACTTCATGGTCTTTTGCTTTCCTTACTCTAACAACATTACAGGTGACATTTAGAAGTTCCTCTCAGGGTTAGCATATTAGAATCCTACTGCTCTCTCCTCTCTGTTTCACATCTTGTGGGAGGAAACACACATCTGCTCCTGTTTGAGTGCTTGTGAGTGAAGAAGAGAAAAGAGCTGTGGGTGTAGATTTCCACTTGTTCTCCTCTTCTTTGCCATGGGATACTTCGGGCTGACTAGCCTGGGAGCTACACACCCTTTCTTGTGCTTCTCATGTCACAGAAGCAGTGGTTCATTCATGCAGCGTGGCAGGGGCTTTGTCCCATAGCGTTATCTCTCCACCTCGCTACAGCTTCATTGCTTTATTTTTATCAACTTATCATTTTGTTCTGATTCAGAAACACCCTTTCATGGTGATAAAGTAGCTGCTAAGCAGAGTAACACAGTGGCAAGCTTACACTTTAAATATTGTAATGTTTTGCATTGAGTCCTAATTCTACCCCTTCCTAGCTCATGGCTGATCAAGTTACTAATTCACATGTGCCTCAGTTATCCTGTCTCTAAAATGGGGAACAGAGTATTCCCTTGCTTTACAGAAGTAGGGTACAAACTTCTGGAGGTAATAGGTATGGTCATACCCGGTTCTTCATGACTGAAGATCAGTTTGGATGGTTCAGGATTTTATGTATTCCAGAGAATATCCATGCCCCAAATCCTTAGCCTATGAGCACCTTATTTTCATCATTTTAAATCAATATATTGATATCTATCAAAACTCACTAACAGGACTGGAGAATGCCTAGGTGTTTAACAGCTTATACTACACTTGTACAAGACCCCAGATTATCTCTCAGTGCTCATGGCAAATGTAGACCCCAGCACTCTCATGCACACCCCCCTATACACGTGTATATATTAAAATAAAATATATTATTTTAATTTAACTTTCTGTACTTCTGTGTCTTCATCACTTCATTCCCAATTTCTGTAGAGGCCACAGTATAATGCTCAATTGAGTCTCCTGTAGACTTTTCTTGGACTGCACTTGGTTCTCCTGCCTAGTATTGCATATTTCACTACTGGACTTTCCATGACAATGAAAACCTATCCTCTCCATTTATCCCTTGCTTCCTCCTTGCTCTGATTTCTTAAAATTGTTCACTCTTATATTCTCAGTGTACATCATTGTTTTTAATTTATAGGATGAGGTCTTTGGCATCTCCTTTAATGATAATGTCAGCCCATAGTATATCTTTTGCAATAGACAGTACGTTTTCCTGCATTACATAATTTTTTTCTGCTGCAGGAACTTTATCTTTTGCCAACTTTCAGCAAGGCAAAATTCAAACTGACCAACATAGCTCCTGTTGCCCATTTTCCCTCAGTCAAATCCCATATGTTTTAGGTAGATTTGTATTCTTAGCTTTGCTGCTAGTTGCACAAACAAGAACTTCTTTAATGTGCCTGTGTTGTTATAAAGGACCTAAAAAGTCTCCCACCCTATCTAAATAATCATGCTTCTCTGGAGACACTACTCAATGTGTTATTAGTGATATTTGGATTTGATTCAACTTTGTGTTCAGAGGAGATCATTTGTTTTCTAGTTTTGTTTTAATAGTATAATTATTTAATTTATTTAAAAAGCATAGGTGCTGGGAGAAAAGGAGTCCACTGTCTTTCAGTGTGTGGCCCCCCCGGTGATTTCACCAGGCTCCAGGGGACATCACGCATCAAAAAGTATACAGACAACATAAACTGAACTTGAACAATCTAAAGTTTTTTAAAACAAAAGAGAGGACACAGAGTTGTGTGGGTAGGAAAGGCAGAGCGGGTCTGAGAGGAGTTGTTCAGTGCGGGGGGAGCAAATGTAACCAAAATACATTATACAAAATTCTCAAGGAGCAAAAAAACATTGCCAAAACAAAACAAAACAAAAAAAAAAACACAAATTCTTTGACCTCCTTGCATTTTATTTTTTTATGTCTTTTCTTTCCCTCATCTTTATATATCTTATCTTATTTTCTTGAAACTACTTTGGCTTTGGATAATTTTGACCTGTTTTTCTGCTGCTGCCATCTTTACACCATTCTCACATAAGAACAGTGATTCTGTCTGTAATCCCAGCTCTGTATCGGTAGCTACAGTGGGATCCCTTGCGCTGACAGAAAACAGTCCACTCTATGAGTGAGGTCCTGAATCAGTGAGCCACTGGATCTCAAAAACTAAAGGGTGGAAGTGATTGAGCACACTTAGGTTGGGCTCTGTGCTAAAACTCACATACCCACATGTACATGCGTACACACACACACACGCACAACAACAACAACAACAACAACACAGTGTACCCTGGCCTCACACGACTATACATTTGGTAAAGAAATCTCATTCACAGGTATGTAGTATTTGCTGACTGGCTTTGTTTGCAGTTGATAGACCACATACCAAGACCATCTCTCCAGTCTGTTTCCTGTGTCCCTGCATGAGTTCCTCCTTTCACTGCTATTTTCTATTTTCCCTTTTGGTCTGATACTAACAATATTAATTTAGTAATTTTGTGACATGATCCTTTGACAACCCACATGGTACTTTGAAAAAGAATAATTCCGTGATAAACTAACGACCTTTCTCCTAACCAAACCACCTTAGATGCTTCTCCCAAGTGAATAACACGTGAAGTGATTCACACTTTCATCTTTTTTAAAGTGGGACTCTCATGATTTATGAATGCCTTTGTTAATTTTTAAATATCAGTGGATTAAAAAAATATGAAAATTTAGTTTTCGAAATTACACTTTGGATTGTTCAATTGATATAAAACCCATTCATCTAGGCCAGATCAGTTGTATGTTTACAAATGGCAGGCATTTATGACTTGCGTGTTGAATTTCCTTGAAGTGGGTACCATGCTTGCAATCTAGCACACTTGCTGACATGTGCAAGGACACTTGGCTACTGTTGGATGTTTCAATTCAATTAAATATTGTGAGCTGATGTCGTATTAATCTGTCCAGTTGTAAATCCCCCTGATTTCTTTTATTCTTGGTCTCAAAAACATACATTTCCCCTTTTTCGTTTTTTGATGCTCACTTCACCGTCTCTCTAACAATACAGCCTTTTTTCTTTGGTTCTTTGATTTTTAAAATAAATTGCTTCTTCTCTAATTGATTTGTTTGATTCTCTAAAGAAAAGTCTCTATATTCGATATAAGTGCCTTTTTAAGTGTGCTTTAAAGTTGTGGCACTGGCATCTGAACAAATGGACTGTCTCCCTGCACTGTGTAACAACTTGATTTATTTATTCTTTGGCGTGTTTTCTTCCTCCTCGGTAATACATTCCACCTCTTGCTGGCATCTCAGAAGGTAAACAGTATTCCCCTCACTCCAGTAATTTTTTTCCCATTGCACCTTCATCTTTCACACACTAGAATCATTCACTGGTGTCAAGAAAATTACTTATTACAAATCATCTATTCAGCTTTTCCTTTGTATACCAAGACACTCATCTATCCTTATCCAGTTCTGAAATTATATTTATTGTAGGCAGTGTGTAAACATGAAAAAGAAGGTGCATTTAAACAGCCTCTAAGAGGCAAAGCCCTTCCTACTTTGGTTGGGAATTTATATGCCTGTATTTCTAAAGAAAAATTATGATATTATTAATAAAAATGTTCTGCGTTTAAAGTACCTATCATATTATAAAAGTTTCCATATTACTAAATATCTTTTAAATAATAATTTTTAGTCCTATAAAGTGTATATTCACAATTTATCATTCAGGTTACTTGGGACAGTTATTTGAGTTTAATTTTCCTGTGTTTCAAATTGTGCATGGTTAAAGTTTATATTTATATATAATAAATAAAGTTTATATATATAAAATAAATAAAGTTTATATATAAAATAAATAAAGTTTATATATATATACACATAAATTTTAACCATAATATGTGTGTGTGTGTGTGTGTGTGTGTGTGTGTGTGTGTTAACTGGGTTATTTTCTTAACCAAAAATCCTAAGAGTGTCTTATGCTATATCCTTAAAACTTATGTAAATATGTCTATGATTTTTATATAGTCAATCAAATGGCCCCTAATAATATAATTTTTAACTTCTACACATTTTTCTTTCACTCCAAATTCTGTAATAGTAATTATTGGGAACCTATTTTTAACACTTACATGATCTTTCAATCACTTCCGTTCAGCTCATTTGCTTTTTACACCATTTCACCCTGCTTGGAAATATATTCCTTCATTATTCTCAGCTAATTTATCATCGTTTCACTTGTCAATCCAGTACCAGAAAGTCACTGTGTACTAACAGATGTGTTAGGTGGCAGATGTCCTGACTTGATTAAGTCAAGGTCCTTTCTCCTTAATATCTTCACTTGATGTGCGATCAGATGTCAGTATCCTCGCGGTTTGTTCTGCTTCATACTTGATGGAGGGGAAATACACACTTAAAATGTTCTTAATCTTATTCATAATCATTATTCTCTAAGATCTAATGTTCCTCATACATAAGTCTTGTACCTTTTATTTTCTAAGTCCCTGTCCTTATATCTGCTTCTACTTCTACAGCAGTGTTTTGAGCATGAAATCACTCATTTAATGAGCAATAGTTTCTATACTGATTATTTTCTGCATACGTTGTGCTCTGATTGCCTACAAGTTGTGTGCATGCATATAAGTAGGGTGTTATCTGTAGAAAACCTTACAGTTTGACAAGGATTGTTTGCAGAAAAAAGGCAAATAAATTGTAAACTGTTTTGCGTTAGCTGAGTCCAAATTATGTACAGTAGGCTTGTATATTATCGATAATCAGACGATTTTTATGTTATTCAATTTTCATTTGGATGCTATAATATATTAAGTGCTTACTAATCTCCCTAAGTACGTGTGTGTGTGCACGTGTGTGTGTGTGTGTACACATATATGAACTAGCTAGGCTTGTATCATTCTAATTGTTTTATCATTGTTTCAGTGTCCTGTATGGAAATAAAATCACAGAACTCCCAAAAAGTTTATTCGAAGGACTATTTTCCTTACAACTACTGTAAGTATTTCATTGCCATGAATTTATAGCACTTAATGTTTTTTTAATATGCCGTCTTTTAATTATCTGGAGGCTTTAACCCAAAATAGCCCAACTTAATGTGACAAAAATGATTAATGAAGCAATGCTAAAGTTGATCATAGCTATTTATGTAAAGACAAAACCCTTCAGAACGATCCAAGAATGTTTCTCTCCACAATAAAATGAACGATTGTGTTCTGGCCGCCCCACTGTGGAGAGGTTATGTAGTGATACGCATCCCATAAAATACTCAGTTCTGATGTGACCAGCAGCTAGGATGGAGCCAGAGACATGGGATATACTTACAATCCACTCAACACTGTAGATCCAACAATGAAAATCCTGACTAACTTCTACAAACATAGGCATGGAATACAGTGACATGATGGCAATCTCCCAATTGATTTTTATTGAAATTTCTCCAACTCCCTTTGTTGCATTAAAGCCCACACTGCTTAGATTAGGGCGGCCCCTCTTTTGTATTGAAAAAAATCACTTTATTTATATAAACCAGATTTGTTGCTATGTATTATTTATTTATTTATTTTATGATGTATGCAGCATTCTGCTTACATGTGTCCCTGCAGGACAGAAGAGGGCACCAGATGTTATTACAGCAGGTTGTAAGCCACAGTGTGGTTGCTGGGAATTGAACTCAAAACCTCTAGACAGTCAATGCTCTCAACCTCTGAGCCATTTCTCTGGCCCTTAGTACCTGATCATTTGCATGTAAGTTCATTAAACAAAGAGAGTAGAAAGGCAGTGTAAGGGTTGAATTTAGTTTGTAGCCTCCATTACCCAGCAACCTCCTTTGTGGCAGAACCTGCTCTGAAAGCTTTGAATATAAAGATAATCATGATTTGATGCTTTTCCTCGCCTTTCTCACAACCATTCTCTCTCACAATTCTTCATTTTAGAATAGTTTTTCTCTTCCAATAGTATTTATTCATTGGTAATTATATGATTAAAAACTTACTAGTAACCCCACAAGCTTCCTAGTGTAACTATTATTCCTTACTTGAGAAACTTATTGTTTAATTGCCCTAGTATCCTTGTGTTAAACTGTTTTCACCACACTGTAATTTGTATCACAACCAAATTCATATAAGCAAAAAAAGAAAAAGTTGTTAAAAAGAAAAAAAGCTTACTGTGTGTATCATTCACCTCCGCTTAGCACTGTATCATCTCCTCAATTTATGTACATATTTTAGTGAGTGATGATACATACAGCTTTTTTGCACTGATGATTGAAAGGTTCTACCTCTTTTTTCCTATTTTTATTGACCTTATTTAGCTCCACAGTATTCTCTGCTCCCTTCCCTTCCTCTTCCCTCTGCTTCTACGCTCTCCCATTGTCCCCATGCTTCCAAGTTACTCAGGAAATCTTGTCTGTTCCTACTTCCCATGTAGACTAGATCCATTTATGTCGCTCTTAGGGTCCTCATTGTTGTCTTAGTTCTCTGGGGTTGTAAATTGTAGGCTGGTTATCTTTGCTTTATATCTAAAAACCACTTATGAGTGAGGACATATAATATTTGTCTTTCTGGGTCTGAGTTACCTCACTCAATATGTTTTTGGTACCCATCCATTTTCCTACAAATCTGAAGATGTCATTATTTTTTTCTGCTGTGTAGTACTCCATTGTGTAAATGTACCACATTTGAAATTAATTTATCAACATGTTTATTTGATAAAATGATGTATATGATACACATCATAAATATAGCATAATGCTATAGTCAAATATTGTTAAGTAGTTACCATATTGTTGATATCCTCATTTTCTAAGAATTCTCTTCCATGCGCAGTATTCTCAATTGTTCTTACCATCATGGTGCTATTTAACATCAACACTCAAAATTCGTGTAGTTTTGGTTACTGTAACACATGTGTGGGTAAAACATATGCATATAAGAAAATATAATTTATAAAACTACTGTTTTTAATATGCAGTCTCCCAGCTCTCAAGGAAGACCCATTCTTTTACCTTCCAGGATTTAAAATATAGATTATTCCAATCCTTTAACAAATAGCCAAGAACATTATGAAGTGGGAGATCCTTATCTTTGCTTGAACAGAGGGTGATAGGAAGAAGAAGCAAGATAATGAAAAAAACCTTGGGAAATAGCTGTTGGCTTGTTTTCATTCTTTTGTTTTAAAATTTTATTGAGCTATACATTTTTCCCTACTCCTCTCCCTTCCTTTCCCCTCCCCTTTTACCCTTTCCCATGATCCCCATGCCTCCAATTTACTCTGGAGATCTTGTCTTTTTCTACATTCCATATAGATTAGATCCATGTATGTCTCTCTTAGGGTTCTCATTGTTGTCTAGGTTCTCTGGGATTGTGATTTGTAGGCTGGTTTTCTTTCTTTATGTTTAAGAATCACTTATGAGTGAGTACATATGATAATTGTCTTTCTGGGTCTGGGTTACCTCACTCAAAATGATGCTTTCTAGCTCCATCCATTTGCCTGCCGAATTCAAGATGTTGTTATTTTTTTTTCTGCTGTGTAGCACTCTGTTTTGTATATGTACCACATTTTCCTAATCCACTCTTCTGTCAAAGGGCATTTAGGTTGTTTCCAGGTTCTGGCTATTTCAAACAATGCTGCTATAAACATAGTTGAGCACGTGTCCTTAAGGCATGATTGAGCATCCTTTGGATATATACCCAAAGGTGTGGTATTCCTGGGTCTTGAGAAAGGTTGTTTCCTAATTTTCTGAGAAATCACCATACTAAGATCCTAAAGGGCTATACCAGCTTGCACTCACACAGCAATGCAGGAGTGTTTCCTTTACCCCACAACCTCTCCAGCATAAGTTGTCGTCAGGGTTTTTGATCTTGGCCATTCTTACAGGAATAACATGGAATATCAGAGTTGTTTTGATTTGCATTTCTGTGATGACTAAAGATGTTAAGCATTTCTTAAGTGTCTCTCAGCCATTTTAGTTCCTCTGTTGAGAGTTCTCTGTTTAAGTCTGTACTCCATTTTGTATTGAATAATTTGTTCTTTTGATGACCAATTTCTCGAGTTCTTTGTATATTTTGGAGATCAAACCTTTCTGATGTGGGGTTGGTGAAGATCTTTTCCCATTCTGTAAGCTGGGTTTTGTCTTGTTGACCATGTCCTTTGCTTTACAGAAGCTTTTCAGTTTCAAGGGGTCCCATTTATTAATTGTTTCCCTCAGTGTCTATGCTTCTGTGGTTATATTTAGGAAGTGATCTCCTGTACCAGTGCATTCAAGTGTGCTTTCCACTTTCTCTTCTATGAGGTTCTTTATTCTTAACATTGTACTGTTTTAAAATGAGCACCAACCTCTCACAGAAACAGCTGCTCTCAGCTTCTTCAGACTGCCTCTGTTTCCTCATCTTAAATATGTGTTGTCAAACTCCTTTATTCAGTCAGCATATGAATTAAGGAACATTCCCAGCATTGCTTGTATTACTTACTGCCAAGAATGGGATGGTAGGTACACCATGAACCCACCAATCCCAAATTAAAAAAAAAAATCCAGGACCTAAATAAGTTTTAGATGCACCGTAGAGAAACTTAAAACTTCATCTCCTGATGGGAGAACACAAAGCACAGAAAACAAGATTATCAGGAGAAGAATACAGCCTTGAATATTTATAAAGAATGTAAAAAGCAAAATCTAAATCTTTGTTAGTTGTACACAGTTTACCGTTGTCTAATGAGAAAACATACTCATTATGTTACATAATGAGAATTACCCAAACCACATAGCAGGCAATTTTGAGCTACTAAATGTTTTAAGGCTCTAAATAAAATAAAAAGGTAGAGACAGAGAACATTGAACAAGCACTGCAGAAATGGCTGAGCTGTATTCGGAGGAATGTGGTACTCAACTAGAAACGGGTAATGAGACTGCATAGCATTACCTACTGTGCTTAGGAAGAGTTATAGAGAGGGCAACTCATGCTTAAGTAGCAATTGTATTCTGGAAAGCACGCACGGCACCAATGGTAAGACATGGTCACATATAACCATCGTATTTATCCTACATGAGTGATGCCTGCCAGTGTATGATCTCTAAAGCACCCTTCCACAGTTTATTGATGTAATCTAGGGGAAGAGTGGGATTGTAGGCTATTGTGTTAGGTGGGTGTTTATACTGCAACTAATCTAGGGGAAGAGTGGGATTGTAGGCTATTGTGTTAGGTGGGTGTTTATACTGCAACTAGAGCTTTGAATGTGGCAGTGCAAGTTTCTATCTAAGAGCAATATCACATAGTCATGTCACAGCAGCTTGTAGTATGTAGTAGGGGTGTGTGAAATATGAGGGAACAAAATAGAAAAATACCCATGACATCCTGGGTACAAATGACAGTCATTTATAGCATCAATAGCTACAAAAAAACATTACCTTTATATTTTATATATGTAGATATATGATATATATGTATATATGAGGCATATATGATAACAAGATGTATGTATGTGTATATATATATATATATATATGAAAATAGGAAAACAGACCAAATATAGCCAATTGAAAGAACTAGGGATTGGAAAGGGGCAGAAACCTTAAAAATATATGAAGTAGTTAGGGTTGAAGAGCAACATGTTTATGTCTCGAAGAATCCAGAAAGGCAATGTGGCTAGCAAGGCACAGATCTGGGAGAAATTTCTGTATAGAGGACAAAAAAATCTGATCTTAATGGAAAAGAGCAAGGTATCAACTGGAGTAACCACAGAGGGAAGGGCAGGGGAATGAGTAAAGCTGTAGAGTCCCAGAGTGAGCTATAGACCATTTTTGATATTAATTCTTAAGGCTGTTCTCTGTCTAGAGTCTTGCTCAGACCATAGATGTTGCATGGTCCGAGTAAATATGTCAAAAAGGACCACTCTGGTTGCTGTTTTAGAAGGAGCCTGAACTTCTCCAGAGTGGCTGGAGACAATAATAATGTTTTAAATTGTTTTTCGTTTGATCTTGATAACAGAAGCCAAACCTCTTCTACTTTTGTCTATGGTTTTACATCTAGGTAATCCTTTGTAATCTTTTGATCATCTGTACTGAATGCATTTATGAGAACCATTTGATTTCAGTTCATTTTACCATTTGACTCTCATTTTTTAATGTAAACCCCCAACTTCCCATTCATAGTGCCTACATTATTATTAAATTTACAACATTAGTGTTAAAATTAAATGTCTTTCTCTTGATTGGGTTTCCTCCAGAAGTGCTATATTACAGGTGAATTAGTGAGATGCTGCACTTTAATTTTATGACTGTTTGATCAAACAGATTATTGAATGCCAACAAGATAAACTGCCTTCGGGTAGATGCTTTTCAGGACCTGCACAACTTGAACCTTCTCTCGTTATATGACAACAAACTTCAGACTGTTGCCAAGGGCACCTTCTCAGCTCTCAGAGCCATCCAAACTATGTATGTATGCACAATTTGAACCAAGTATAATGATGATTACTTTCACTGTGATTGTGAGAGCCAAGTCATAAGCAAGTCATGTATAAAACTCTTCTGCTGTGTTTCTGAAAGGCATTTGGCCCAGAACCCTTTCATTTGTGACTGCCATCTCAAGTGGCTAGCGGATTATCTCCACACCAACCCAATTGAGACCAGCGGTGCCCGTTGCACCAGCCCCCGCCGCCTGGCTAACAAAAGAATTGGACAGATCAAAAGCAAGAAATTTCGTTGTTCAGGTAATTTCTCACTTCGTGAGACATTTCTGTAGGACCAAAGGCTGTGGTTACTTGAGAATTAGCAACAGCAGCTGCCTTTGCTTGATTATCAAGCATTGTGCAATCTCCTTTTTTTCCTTCTGTCTGGGGAGGGGAAAAGCAGGAGAAATATAGATGCAACTCAAATAATATAGCCAGCAAAATAATTATCAATCAAATGAAAAAGATGTCTGGATCCCTCATTGTATGTCTTAGGGATTGGATGTATCCAGGACCTTTCAGATAACTTGAAATACAGTTTTTAAAAAAAAAAGCACTGTTACTCCTCCTGTTTGTTGTACTGGTCTCCGCTGACCAGCATCAAATAGCCAGACATTCTCTCATTTATTCACAGAGCAAAATAAGACGGGATTACATGGTTTTTTCAAACTCAGAAGTAGAGGGTAGGAGTCTCCTGATGCCTCATTTCTTTCTAGGATACACTGTGAAGCCACATTTTTTTGAGACTATCTTTTCACATTTGGGAAACACTGCATTTATCCCCCCCAAAATCCTTGTGTAACTGTTAACTGGGAAGCTTACTCCATTGTTCATTTGGTCTAGTGTTATATGTTTTCTGATGACTATCAGATGACCTTGACAATCATTTGAAGAGTGTGCTACCTAACTCTTCCGGGCACATTTCCCACTGTGTAGTTAACTCGTGCTAAATGTCTAATATGAAAACTAGGTTTGTGAATGTCCTTCTTTATAAGTTTATCACTCACTGTGTATTGTTTTAGTTCTGTGAATATACTTTGTCACTTAGTTATCTGTAATAACTTTAGCCCATTCTTAATCTAATATAACTCATATCTCTGCTTGCTGACATTCAGGTACATCTTCTATTTTTTTTCTCTCTCTTTCTTTTTTTTTTTTTTTTTATTTAGCTAAAGAACAGTATTTCATTCCAGGTAGGTTTTTTGCTCGGTGGTAGAACTAACTGCAGACACCCTGTCCTCGACTTCTATAGCTTCTAAACATTGATGTGCATGCTTTTGGGAGCACAGTGAACACTCCATAGATAGAGTGACTTACGCATAGCTCACTTGTTGCTGTATCCTGAAAGCCCCACCTCTGCATGCAGCTTCTGATGTTGAAACTCTATTAAAATAAAAACCCACATTCTCTCTTTTCCCTTACCCCTTTTCACATTATCTGCAGTTTCTCACATTAGCCAAAATATTTCATCCTATGGCTTACTACTTAAACCATGGTTTTTTCCTCTCTCTCTCTCTCTCTCCACTGAATATTTAATCTTTCAGCCTGTTTTTAAAATGTAGCTTTCTAGGCTAGTTTTAAAGACAGCAGCTTCTCTATTGTCAAAGAGCTAGTTCTATATAAAATCAGGTATAATCATGCAGAAATGCATTTTCGACAAAAAAAAAATCTCACTTTTTAAAAGCTTCTTGGTTTGAAAAGAATACTTTTTTGCTTACATTTGTTTTTTAAATATAAAACAGCTGTTCTGTGCTGATCTAGCTGCACTTGTTTTTTATTATTAATTTACTTGTAATTATACGTCCTTGCCTGTCTGGAGTCAGATTATTACTCTACAAAAGGGGATATTCACATCCATCTTGAAGTCATTAGCAGCTAATAGGAACTAAATGCCTTGAATAATCTAAGCAGAAGGAGAACATGTTTCTACAGATTCAATTGCAATGTTTCATCCCTATGCTTCCAACAAACACCTCCAAACTGATGAGTCTAGAGCTAGCTCTTTAAAATGTGTCCCTTACTTACCTTGTTCTTGCCTGCCAAGTGTATGAATTCATCCTGACTTGTTTGCTTTAAAACACTGTATAGTAAAATATTTATAAAGTAATGATTGATTTTGAGGATGTATTTATTCCTTACTCTTAGCATTTAATTAATTGTATATATTTGCTAGATTTAAGTAAATTGCTTAATTTGAATTTCAATGTTCAACTAATAGTCTACATATTGTATCTGTATACATTACCAAAAATGTGCAGAAAACAGCAATTGAATGGTCTTCATCATCAATGTATAAATTTTGTTATTTTTAGCCAACTAAGTGCAAAGTCACCAAACAGTTGAAACTCAACTGGAAAAAGGAATACTTTGAAAACCAGACTGTGCATAGGATAGCACACCAATATGATTTGAATCCCAAGATTATGGCAGTTCATCTAATAATTATCCAAAAATTTAATTCAGTTTCTTGAGAATTTAAGTACAAAAATACCAGTATAACTCAATGCAATAAAAAAATCATGTTGTGAAAGTTATGTTTTCTGCTTCTGCTAGAAAATATGAGCCCATATATTTTTTAGGAAATAACTTCTATATCAAAGATCATATCTTGATTCTCATGCTTTGATAATTGAGTTGCATTTTAAAATTACATGTGGACGTTGTGGCACATAGACTTCTTGGTCCTCATTTTGCTCTTTTTTCCACCTTAAATACTAATTAAGATTTGTATCTATCCAATAAATGGTTTTTAAGTAAGCATTGTTAACTGCCATTGTATTGACTATATGTTTTTGAATGCACTCGGTGAACCTTGTGTCGATACTTTAAACAGAATACTTTTAGCTTTCTCATGACTTGATCTCCGAAGACAGAAAAAATAAAAAAACAAGTTCTTCAACAACTAGGAGGGCACTTGTTGTTGTAATGGAATGTGACATGTAAATGTTGTTATATTTGGTATTTCAACATTTTGTGGAATTCTGATTATGTTCCAATCAAGTGATAAACTTTAAAGCTTGGAGGTCATTTAGAAGCATGTGACCTACCGTCTAACTGTTAATGCATATACTCTATCTATAGCCCTTCTACTTTCCATCACTGGCTTTTCATTCATTTTATAGGTGCATTCATAGATTGCTCCTTTGTATGGCGTTCCAGACATTCTGATGATAAAACAATTAAAAAAAATCTGTCTCACAGACAGTTCAGCCATTAAGGGAACCCACAAGCATTTAATTTTTACTGTACATCTTTTATGTCATTGCATTTTCTGTAAGCCATTATACTTCAAAAGTGCTATCAGTTTTGCAAAGCATGACAAACGCATCACACAAAGCAATCCCATGCCTAAAGTTGCATAGAAACAAGGAAGAGAACATAGTTTGGTGTATATGTGTCTATTAACCTTAAATGGGATGATTCTGTCTTTCTTTCCTTTTTGGCGATCTTTTCTTTTGCAGGAATTCACCATTTGGCTTGTAAGTAAACGCGTCCAATGTGAAATGTAACACAGCCTCTTTTCAATCCCCGATGTACCTTCTTCTAGTCTTCATGTTTTGCGCCTATTTTCCGTGAAGAAACCACACATCTCTTGAGCTTCTCTGTTGTCCCTGTAGCTTACCTTCAACTTCTTCCTGGATGTTCTTCCCGAAAGCTGTGGTTTCCGCTCTGCAGTTCTGAGGAACTCAGGAGGCACCTTTCCGTATAGCCCCTTCTTTGTGTTTCCAGGCACCCTTCGGTAGTCATGCTCTCTCTCTGATTCCGCGGGAAGAATGCATGTCATGTAAACAGTATGATGCTTCCAGACCGTTCGTAGCTTTCCTCCTCCCTTCGTCTTTCCTCTCGATCTTCCCTCTGGCCTAGTGGTTGGTGTAGTGATAATGTAGCGAGATTTTCTGTTGTGCTTGATCTAACCATGTGGTTGCGAGGTATGAGTAAAACATGGTTCCGTCAAGCACCATGGAACGTCACGCAGCTTTCTACAGCATGGCAAGCTGCTGAGGCTCAAGGCAGGACTTACGTGGCTTTTTTATAGAGTCAAAATGAAAAGAAAAAAAAAGAGGGCTTTGGGAGTGTTTCTGAAGATTATGTGAGAGGGAGAGAATAATAATAAGTCCATGGAAAAACTTAAAACCTAAGTATACCGATTTTCCTTAAAAGCCCTACTTTACAGTAATATACAGGAGTATGCTTATTACTAGATATGTTTTCAATTTTTGACTCAGAAAAGAATAAACTTGGTTAACAATTCATAGCCATTGTGTGATTAGCTGTGAAATAGACTAGCGTGGCTCAGAACTGGATCAGCAGAAAGTACAGCTGTGAAAGCTCAACTTTATTAATGTTTTCCTGTCATGTGAATCTGGTCACTCTTTTTTTTCCAGAAAATTCCAAGCCTTTCTTTTAATCCTCTCCTGACATCCATTGACCAAAAATTCCCTAAGTTGTCTCCCTGCTGCATAATCTATAGTTATCCTCCTACTTTTCTTCCTCTATATATTAATGACTATTCTAACATTCAACTCAGAATCTTATCTTTGGCTTGAATCCTCAATAGGCACAGAAGATTATCGATCAAAATTAAGTGGAGACTGCTTTGCAGACTTGGCTTGCCCTGAGAAGTGTCGCTGTGAGGGGACCACAGTAGATTGCTCCAATCAAAAACTCAACAAAATCCCAGACCATATTCCCCAGTACACAGCAGAACTGTAAGTTCCCCTGACTACAACATCCTGGCCGGGAGGGAGCAGGGGACAGACAGAGTGACACTGTATGAAAACATTGGAATTTTTGTCATGACATTTTAATTCTCAAAAATTGAGTTCACTTAATTAATACACATTCAACTGAGAGGCCCTCTTCTTTGTTCAAGAACATGTTCAAAACTACCTTAGTTCATTTTTAGAGCTACAACTGAACAATCAAATCAAACAAACAAATCAATCAAATCAAAACATACACTCAAAATTCAGTCATTATTTACTAAGGTTGATAATAACAGGGATATCTGATTGTTATTGGTTGTTGATTATGGCAAAACATTTGTAAATGTTTCGTAAATTTATAATAAAATTAATTCTTAAAAGAGCCAAACAAAGTAATTTGGGAATCACCAAATCTGTCAAGGAGTCCTTTCTTCTTTGTTTGACTCCTTCTCTGGCACAGGTGAAAGAACTCAGGGACTGCCAGTTGGAGGGCAAGTAATAGTTGTTTATTTGTTTATAAACAGTGACTAACAGATCAGGGGAAACTAAAATCTCAGACATGATCAAATTTATATTTACAAATTTAGCATAGGATCCAGAATATGAAAAAGTGTAATTTTGGAATTATTTACAGAATCTCTGCCCATGTTTAGCTCACCTTTCCTGGTTATAAAAGAAAGATGTACAATGTAAGTTTTCCAAGACCCATGAAGACAATAGGAAAATCTGCTTTTTGAACACCTTAGCTCTGTTTATTTATGGCACCATCTGGTATTTGTCATTTATTGCTTTGCAAAGTTGCTTGTCTGTGTGTATGCACGAGCCTTCTATCTTCAGCTCGATTGCAGCCTCTTGATTGCTGGGACTATATGTTATCATTTCTGCCACCCTGTGTCTATACACATGCCTGTTACTTAATGAATTTAAGTCAATTTGAATAATTAGAAACAATGTCTTTCAAATGGTTGACACAATCTAATTTCTTTGTGGTTTCTACATTTCATGGTATAGATACTAGCTCAACAATTTTAAGAATGTCAGAGAGCATGTAGCAAGATCCAGGAATTACACTTTGTGTGGCTGTGTGCAGACATGTGCTTATTTCTCATAATACTGCATGCAAATTATAATATGTTAAGCATGATAATTAATTAAATAAATTATTCTCTAATCTATAATTCTATTACAGCCTAGTCTGTAAGGTAAGACTCAGAAAAATTCTGTTTTAAAAGTTTAATAACTTTTCAAATAATATACATAAAATAAATATTTAAGAGAAAAATGTTCACAAAACATGCACTCAATAAGGGATTTAGATTCCGAATTTTTACTAGTCATATACCCAGAGTGAATTTAAATCCAGAATATATTAAAAATATTTCAAAATCAACAATAGAAAGCCTTTGTTGCCTATCAAATGGTCAAGTTGTCATGAAAACATTTTTCCAGTGAAGATATATGATTGGCCAATAACCATATGAAATAATTGGTCATTATAAAATGCAAAACTGGGGCTAGTGAGGTGTCTCAGTGGGTAACAGCTCTTCCAGAGGTCCTATGTTCAGTTCCCAGGAACCACATGTGGCTTGCAGCCATCTGTAATGGAATCTGATGCCATTTTCTGCCATACAGGTGACCATGACAACAGAGCATTCATATTTAAAAAATAAAAAATTTAAAAATGAAAAACTAATATTTTTTGCAGCTGTGATAAAATAGCATAAAAATAGCAACTTTTAGAATAAAGGGTTTAGTGTGTGTGTGTGTGTGTGTGTGTGTGTGTGTGTGTGTGGTTTCAGAAGAACCCACAAGAGCAAGAAAGGAATGGAGCTGTCTGAACACATTTCATAAGCAAACAGGAAGTAAAGATTGAAGAAAAAGTGAAAGGTTTTATACTCTTAAAGCTCATGACATACTTCCTTTAGAGATGACTCCTAAAAATTCTATAGCCTTCCCAGGCACTTCTCTCAACTGGGGACCAAGTTTTCTAATACAAGAATAAAACCATAGGAAATATTTCTCATTCAAAGTGTCAAATTACTCATCCTGGTCTGAATAGGCTCACTGCCATCTCATGATTCAAAATACACTTAATCCAACATCAAAAGTACCCCTGATCTTTAACAGTCTCAACATTGTTCAAAAGTATAAAGTCCCTTTTGAGACTCAAAGTAATAGTTGTTCCCAGTAAACCTTTAAAAAAATGCATCCCACATACCATGGCACATACATATTATATATATTGCCACTCAGAAAGGAGAAATGGGGTATACTGAGTAAATATTGGACCAAAGCAAGACGAAAACCAAACACGGCAAACATAAAAGCCTGAAGTTCCACGTCTAGAATCTGAGGTTTCCTTTTCAAAGGATTTGGATGGCTTCCTCCTTGCAGATTTACTGCCTATTTCATACATCTCTCTGTGGGGCTGGTTACACTTCCTGTGTGCAGATCTCCTTTGCAAATTTCCCATGATTCTGGTGTCAGCAACACTGGAAATCTTCAGGGCAACATAGGCTTTATGCAGTGTCTGATCAGGGCCTCTGTACAGGGACTCCACCTCTGTTGTGATTGCCAGACCTCATTAATCACTTCTTTGTATCCATACAAGATCTCACAAGTCTTTCGATCTTATATTATTTGTGTCTTCAAAACTGCTACCATCTGGATGATAATGCAAAATTCAGTTGACTGATTCTCATAGACATTGTTGTCCTCGGTATTAGCTGTTTTTATGTGTTGTTGCTTACTAAAAGCAAGGAATTCTAAGAGCAAGGAATTCCTTAAGCTCTCTCGCTTTACATATTAATGCTTTAGCTGAGTGTGGTTTTCCCCTGAGAAGGACTCTCAGAGCCGCTGGAGAGTAGCAGGCTTTGCTTTTATGCCATTAAGCTCCTTAACGATTACAGTTTCCTTTGCAGCCTGTACTTCGGGGACAACTTGAAGACTTCTTGTGCCATTTTTCCCTCCAAGCAGCATGTCTCAGATTTCTTTGTGTGCCACTTGGCTCTTTATGATGATAGAAATGCATAAAAGTAAACAGTAGTAGACATTCTAGAGACTGTTAGGCTGTCTTGAAATCATGATATCAAAGAAATTAATTCATTGCTTTTTAATTTAGTTTTAGGTAAGTTCTCAGGACATGTACACAATGAAGCCAAATAGCATACAAATTCCAAAATATCATACAACATATCTTTAGGTTGTTACTGATAGAGTCTTTGCTTTCACTTTTGCTAATGATTTGGATCTAAAATATCTGCATTACTCTCAGGATTGCACGCTTCCAGAATCTCATAGAATGGTTGGTTAAGCTCTGCCTATAACAGTCAACTACTTTTCTAATCCAGAGGTCTAAATTCTTCCAAAATGTCTTCAAAACATCTACACTGTCATGGTCTTCATAGCAACAACCCAAATTCTCAGTACAAACTTCTATATTAGTTACTTTCCTGATGCTGTGTTATTTTCCTCTCTGGTTCAAGTTTTATATTTCTATGTACTCTGTTTGCACAGCATATAAACACCATGACCAAAAGCAGTCTATAGAAGAGAATAATTTTATTTAGTGTTCTTGAATGAGAGTTCATCATGAAACTGAAATAATGGCACCAGGTAACAGAAGCAGGAAAGTGGTTGATGGGACATATATCATAGACACACAGAAGATGAGGTTAGGCTATACATACTTAAAACCTGCCCCGAGTAATACACTTCCCCCAGCATAACTGGACTTCCTCAAATAGCACCATCAACTTGAGACCAAATGTTCTAATATGTGAGCCTATGGGAGAAATTTCTCATTACCCTCATGTACAAAATCTGGATGTGAAGGGGAAAGTCAATGATATATGGATGAAAAATATACATTAGTATTCTAAGTATAAAATAGTATAGCCTTGGGAAAACTGTAACATGAGGGCCTACTTGTTGGTTTCTGTCCTGCCCAGTTCCCACAGCTGGTAAGTCCCAAAGAAATCACACTGATTGGTCCATTAGCTCAGACTTCTTTTTAACTTTTATAACTTACATTAGCCCATTATTCTAGTATATGTGAGCCACATGGCTCAGTAGCTTTTTCGGTGGGGCAGGTCACATCTTGCTTCTTCTGTGGAAGGACAGGACTGGAGAAAGATCTTCCTTCTTCACAGAATACTCCTGTTCTCATTGTCCCTCCTCTACTTCCTGTCTGGTTGTCCTGCCTATACTTCCTGCCTGACTACTGGTCAATCAGTGTTTATTTAAAACAGAATTGATAAAATACAGAATTGTCCTGCACCATTGTTCTTCAATGTAGCATGCATTAATCCACCATATGATCCAACAAACGCTACTTCTATGTATATAGTAAAACAATTTAAAAGGTACATCCTCACAAAAATCCACATACCATGTTCAACATAGCATTTTCATAGCAGACAAATACAGAGTAGAACAAGTGTCTACTAACTGATAAATGGCTAAATGAATGTGGGGTGCCCATTCTTTTACACAGTTATGAAAAGCAATAAAATTCCAATAACATCATAACATAAATCAAAATTAAACTTCCTAAAAAGGCCAGAGAGGTGGCTCAGCCTTTAAGACAACAAAGCATATGGCTCCTACAAGATTCAAGGTCAAGTTCCAACATCCATGCCATCTGGCTCACGATCACCTGCAACTCAGCTTCAGGGGGTTCAGTTTCCTCTTCTAGCCTCTATGGGCACCTGTACTTATATATCTACCAGTAAGTAGATACCTAAATGTAATTATTTAATTGACAATAGAACAAAATTTTCAGAACATCCTACAAGATGAAGTAAAAGATATAATCTGTGAGATTCCATCTAAACGAAATGTCCAGAATAGGGAAACACGGGTTATGTGGCACAAATGAGGGATGGTGATAAGAATATGGCTGTGTCATAATAAGAGTATATTGCCAATGACTGGTATTGATTTTGGAGTACTTTTTGGATAATGCAAGGTATTCTGAACTAGTAAATATTGTTGTACTGGGTTTTGTTTGTTTTTATTTGAGACAGTTGTTTATGTTTTTGTTTGAGATGGAGTTTCTTATATTTCCTTGATTGCCTGGAGTTGAGGTCTACTATGTAGACTACATTGGCCTTGGACTTGCTCTGGTCCTCCATTTTTGCTTCCTGAATACTGAGACTACATGCATGAATCCTTTCACCTGGCTTGCAATATTACAAATACACTGAAATTCTGTACGTTAGGTACTTTATAGTATCTGAATTGTGTGTCAATTTATCAATGAATGATAAGGCTAGGAAGCAAGTACTTGTGAAAAACCAAGGCCTTGAGACTTTGGTATGGAGACTCCTGCATATGAGCTGGTTTGGATTCTTGTTTGATATTTCAATATATTTAACAATTTTTTGTTTTTGAAATTTTTGATGAAGTGATAGAAACATAACTAAATTTTATGAATTCCATGTTATATTTTTGCTCTATTCCAAAGTTATCATAAAATGATGTTATAACTTAGTGTAACAGATACAAGCTAAACCCTTTTTACCTGTGAGAAAGCTTTCATCTTTTTTGTTCTTTCCGCAGGCGACTCAATAATAATGAATTTACAGTGTTAGAAGCTACAGGGATATTTAAGAAACTTCCTCAGTTACGTAAAATGTAAGTCATTTGTTAGCTATATATAGACTGTCTGCAGTGTGTTTCTCTTGCAAATTTTATATCTTTTTCCATTTTATCCCAGTGTCTTTTGAAACAGGAAAATAGTTTTTAAAAAAGAGAAGTCCAGAGAAATTTCCATGTTATGACTGCATGGGGCATGAACTTAGGGTACTGTGTAAAAGGTAGTTTTCCGTGTGTTCACATGATGCCAAGCCAACCCTTAGCAACTTCCTCTAAAGCAGACAGTTGGTCTATAATGCGTCTGCAGCAGGAATCCAGCAATCTAAGCACATTAAGATGGATTCGGCCATGTCCTGTAACTTCCTCAAGTATTCCCCAAACCATGGTGCTAGTTCTCTTTCAGCACATTCACGACAACTGTTTGACTTTTGCTTCATTAAGCTTTCATTTCGAGTTAGTCAAAATTAATGATTAGTAAACTAGCCAGACTGCTCATCTGTGTTACTTCATGTCCACAGCTCATATTTCAGTGTAAATTCTTAAGCTCAGCATTTTCATCAACATTCCATCACTATCCCATGTCCTTGAGTAAAGGGAGAAGCAGGACAAAAGGCAAGTGGGCAAGGACCCAGGAATGCATGAGGAGGAAGCAGATGCATCATCCCACGGCACTTATCACACTCAGTCTCACATAAAGAGCTCCCCCAGGCACTGACACTGTTTGGAGCAAAGAGGACCAAACCTATGCCTATGTCCTTCTCTATGTTAGGCTTCCTTGAGAACATCTTCTGATTTCTTAATCATTTTCCTTCATGCCACTAACCCTACTGTCTTTTTAGCAATAAAGGGTCCAGTGTCACAGGTCTTTACTGAGCAGTGCTTTATAGGCATAGAAAATAAATCACAAAACAAAGTAACAGGATTACTCCATTGGTTAAGTGTTGGTCTTATAAACACAAAGAGGTGGGTTTGCTCCTCAGGTAAGGAAATCCAAATATAGTGGCCTATTCTCCCAGTGCTGGGGAGATAGTAACAACTGGGTTCCTGGAACCTGATGGCCAGTAAGGCCAGCCTACTGGGCCACGTAAGACCTTTACATAACCAAATAATTGGCTTTAATAGTTTTAGACTTCTGGGAATCATCGCAGTTCATTTTGAGTAAAATTAGGCGATATTTTGCTTTAATGGTTACTCTCTCTTAGTGTTACTGTTTTTCTGGTTTCATGGATTAGAGAAACACCTACAAGTTTCTATAACCCTTGCAGTGAAAATCTTAAAAACGGTGGAAGACTTGGATGTTTATTCAGTAGACTGAAAATGACCAGATATATTTTTGGCACATCTTGTGTTAGTGGGCAGGCATTTAAATCTGTGTCTCACACTGTTTATCTAGCAACTTTAGCAACAATAAGATCACCGATATCGAGGAGGGAGCATTTGAAGGTGCATCTGGTGTGAATGAAATTCTTCTCACCAGTAACCGTTTGGAAAATGTTCAACATAAGATGTTCAAAGGATTGGAAAGCCTCAAAACATTGTAAGTATTTCTGATTCACATTAAAATGGCTTAGACTTCGTTGTTCAATATCCTCTGCGGAGACAGGTGAGATCTACTTTCCTCCTGGCCCAGTGACTCAAATTTTCAGACATAACATTTAAACAGAATAACTGTGTTCATCCAGAGGATATGTTTATCTGTTCCCTGTAATGCATCAGGAGAAAAGAGGCAATGGTTGTGATAAATCTTTCACTATCTATTGCTAAGAAAACATGCTAAGGGTTTTGTCTACGTGGTTAATGATAGGGAGTTGGGAAGGAATAAATTCTTTATGTCTAACAAAATTTGTTTATGTAGAGAAGATGAGACTTTAGATCAAACAGTAAATGCAACAGTTTGTCTTATTGAATTATTTCGGTGCGTCTTTGCAAGTAGTGTTTGCCAAAAGTAATAACTCATAAACCAGAAGAGAGCAAAACCAAATTCGACAACCATTGTCAGAGCACATAAAAGAATCTCTTTGCAAGCAAGAAGCAGCCTTTGGCAGTAGAGTAAATACAAGCTCAAGCAATGGCATCTCACCTGACCCTGGAATCCATGTATAATGGGAAAGCAGGAAGTCCCCTGTTTTAAGACAGGAGGAGGCAAAAACGGTGTTTTTCTCTAATCACTGGGATGTGTTAATATAACACCAAATTTAGGTATAGTGTGTGTGTGTGTGTGTGTGTGTGTCTATATTCGCTGCACATGGAAATAGATACATACTGTAGCTTTGCACAGCTATCCTGGGATCCAATAATCCAGCATGGCCAGCATGTTAGCGACAGACCTCTCTCAGGGACCACTTTTGATTCAATCTAAAATGGTATGCAAACAGTTGCTAAGTGTGTTTGTGGAACATATACTGAGAGTGTGTTAAAGGATCGCCAAGAAAATGCACCATTGGGCCTGCATCTGCACTTCCCTAGGCTGTTTCAGGTTACTAAACAAATGGCAGTACCTCCCTTCTTCCACAGAAGTTCCGTGCTTATTTATTGTTAATGCCATCCTTCCTTCACACACCAGTACTATGGAGAATGTAGGGGGCATAGATTCGAACTTCACCCATTCCAGCCCATCTCTGCTGCCAGAGTGGGATACCATAATCTGAATACTCCACACATATTTTTCATGCTTCTGGATGTAGACGTTCACCGTGAAGTTGAATTTGTTTTTCAACCCTCTGTCTAGGCCCCAGGCTTCCTTCTTGGCGAGTTTCTTGCCATAAACACACATGACCTTTATCTGCATCCTCAGGTAGAGAAAGGGAGGGTGAGTGAGATGAGTGAGATCTCCACTGTGCCTTCTTTCTATGTATAGGTTTTTAAAACGGTGAAGACCTTCTCTAAAGTCAGTCCCATTGGTGATAAAAGCTTTAAGGTATGAATTAGGGAAATCACAGTTCAGTCAATAGTATTACCTCGACACCATGTCAAGCATTTGCTTCTATGAGATACAGTCAAATGACAAGACCTGGGAGATCTCTGAAATGAGCTTTCTCCATCTTATTTCCACTGATGGGCTCCTGCTGTTTATGCTGTAAGGTGTGAATAAAGCACCTGCAAGCAGTCTCCATGCTGTTATGTCGGGGAGAATGGAGCAGCCAATAGTCAAACAACTATTAGAGTAGATGTGTCTGGTTCTATCTATTCTTCCACACTGTCTCTGAGGTTTGGTGTTCTAAACATTTGAATAACATCCCACCCTAAACCTCTTAACGCCTCTAATCTAGTCAGCTAACTTGTAATCTGTGTGTATATTTCAGCAAGTTATAAAACAGCCCGAGACATCAGACAAAGCTTGCTGTATGCATGAGTGCCTCGCACCGCGCCCCCGTGTCTGCACTCTGCGCTAGAACCCAGTTCGCGAGCTTCGGGCAAAGGGCTGGAGGTTGAGAATACAGGCGCAGGGAGAGACCGACACGCAGATTTTTTAACACTGATACCAAAGCTCCAAGAATGCCCCCTTTATTGTGTTGAGGGGTAGATTATATAGAGATAGCCACGCCCCAGCCAAACCCACCAGAAACCACTCTCCTGCCATCAGGAACTCCTGAAGGTCTTGTGCTCAGAGCAGCTGTAGGCACTCAGATCAGGGGAAAACAAGGTGTTTACAAGAAATTCAGGATCTGGGGTCTCACTGCTCCCAACACATGAGCTGATGGTTTTGTTGTTGTTTTTGTCTTGTTTTTGTTTTTTTACTTTTTATCAAGAGAGGAGTTTACTTCAGTTCTTCCCAGGGTCTCTTAACTCCAGTAAGATTAAGACCACAGATCTCCATTATTATTGTCAAAGGATACTGTGCATTTGTTTCTGACTATTCAGTGATGCCTGGATAAGAAGACATCTTTCTGCTTTTCTACAGTTTAGCAGAAAGAAAACATTCTTATTTCTGTTTTATTACCAAACATAGAACTTTACAGCAACACCGTTTTTCAACATCTGTCTTAGTTGGGGTTTGTAGTGTTGTGACAAAATGCAAAACTCGGGGAAGAAAAGTTTAATTTCTGCTTACACTTCAACATCATGGTTCATCATCAAAGGGAGATGTCAGCGGAATCTCAAGGCAGGAACTGAAGCAGAAGCCAGGAGTGAGTTCTCATTGCTTGGCTTTCTCTTCATAGCTTGTTAAGTCTCCTTTCTTCTAGCACCAAGGATCTCCAACCCAGGGGGAGCACTGCCCACGTCAGTGGGCTTTCCCATATCAATCGCCAATCAAGACCATGCACCACAGCCTTTTCCATGCACCAATATTGCAGGGGCTTTTGTCAACTGAGGTTTTGTCTTTAAAAATGATTCTACCTTGTATCAAGTTGAGATAAATCTAGCCAGCACATTATCTTTCTCCTTTTATATTTGCCATTCTATTGGCAGAGCAATTACTCTGAGTATAGAAAGATGGCTAAATTAATTTTTCATGAGTTCTGAATAATACGTAATGCAACTCCAAATTTGTGTATGAGGTTTTCTTCCTTTTGAAAACCTCCAAATAAACAGCACAGGAAAGGAGGAATTGGGAACTAAGCCAGAGCTTTAGCAGTGGTAGGGAAAAAATAACAGTGTTAATCCTGTTAACGACAGTGTCAAAAAAAAGAGTTTATTCAAAACAAACCTATTTAACCTTTGTTGTATATTACACTTATGCCTTTTGGGAGTTCTGAACTTGAACCTAGGAACAGATTTTTCATAAATAAAACAATCTGATGCAGGCTTTGTGGATGCTCAGTCACACTTGACTCCCTCTGCTCCTGTCAGACAGTGAGTCACTAAGTCCCCAAGATGCCCTCTCCGTCTGCAGGGTCTATTGATTCTCTCCGCCCTCTTTTTCTTCTCTCTCAAATGTCACACTATTCTGGATACATAAATCACTGGGCTCCAAGGACACAAGCAGGTGACTGAGGACATTATGTGATCAGGCAGATATAATTATATCATCAAAAGGAAGCATGTTACCCTCATCATGGGACTGTAAATCCACACAGGTTCAGCATGCTTTCTGTGACTTAATATAGGCACTGATTATTCTATGCATTCTCTTATTGCAGGATGATATCCAGAATATACCCATTCCTCGGGAAGCAAACATTTAAAATAGTGATGAATGCTACATGTTTGCTACATGTTCATCTCTAAAGGGCAAAATTGAATGCCTGATATTTTATCTCCATAACAGTGTTCTTTCCCTTCCCCCAGGATGCTGAGAAGTAATCGAATAAGCTGTGTTGGGAACGAGAGTTTCATAGGACTCGGCTCTGTGCGTCTGCTTTCTTTATATGACAATCAAATTACTACAGTTGCACCAGGGGCATTTGATACTCTCCATTCCTTATCTACACTGTAAGTAGAAAAACTTCCTTTTTTTTTCCAGTGGTTCCCAACCTTCCAAATACTATGACTCTTTAATACAGTTCCTTAGGTTGTGGTGAACCCCAACCATAAAATTATTTTTGTTTCTGCTTCCTATTTGTAATTTTGCTGCTGTTATGATTCATAATGTAAATATCTATGCTTTCTGGTGGTCTTGGGCAACTCTGTGAAAGGGTCATTCAACTGCCTAAGGGGTTGCAACCAAAAGGTTGATAACCCCTGCCTTTATCTATGACTTGTGATGGTGTATTATAATTCTTATTGTTTTTTAGTATTCTTTTAATGAATTAATAAACATCGCATGAGAACACAACCAAGTATTTGGGAATTTTAAAAAGGACAAACTTATGTTAAACTTGCTTTTGTTGTTCTAAAATTATTACCATTTTTATTAGACAGAATTTGATATATATATATATATATATTCCTCAGTTATTTGTTTTTATAATAATGGGATCCATAATGGGGCTTAGATTTAGAATTGTAAATTATTCTAACATGATAATACTGTAAGTAAATGTCACAGGTTTCCTCTTATATCCAAAACAATAAATATTTTCATCCATAAGTACCATAAACACTGAATTGATAGAATTATTACCAACCAACGACACTCTACAAGGATCATTTATAATGATAAGAGGTATATAAAAATGAACAGACCAATAGTAAAAGCTAGTCAATAGAGGTAACTTACTCTGGCTGCAAAAGTATAAAAGGAATGGGTTGAGCCTGTCTGAGATAATAATTTATGTAAACAACTTGAAACTTGAGAATACTTCTAGGTCTACAAACAGAACTCTGCAAACATTTAAAAATAACCCTTGAACAATGTATTTCAGGCCTTTTGTAAATCAATTTCTGAACACGATGTTTGCTATTACAGCTCTAATAATGGATGATATCCTGGCCACAGCAGTTTCTTAATATCCTAACCTAACTCAACACAATGGGGAATACAGATAGTTAGAACAATTCCAAAAGCATGTTTGACTCTGCGCAAGTCACTGAAAAAAAAAAAAAAAGTGAAGTCAGCATCCATCCATCAGTAAAGTACTTATTCCCTTTTCCACATGAAGTGACTAATCTGTGCATATTAAAGATGGCATGCTTATAAATAATGGGATTGTCGATAGGTTTGTGCTTAAGTATGAGATGCCAAAAATATTGAGATTTCTAGAAGTAAATTTGTTTTTCTAACTGGCATTTAATCTACTCAGTTGTCAGTTTAGATAAGAAAGCTATTCTCTGGAGCAAACAAGAGATGGAAATCGTGAGGTGACAAATTAAGGGAATAGCTGTTGTCAGGTTAAACTCAATAATATAAGGTAATCAGCCTTCATCTTTATATTAAATTACTACTTTATCAGCACAGAAGAGTTTGACAGTAAGTTAGATCTCTGACATATTTAAATTATTCCTAAGTATGGCATCTATCAGGATTCACTGCATAAACCTTAAATTGGCTGCCTTTACTAATTTTTGCATGAAGTTATTCAAAGAATTCTCTTATGAGATAACATTATCCTTTGGTTCCTGCCATACACATTTAGGAACAAAATGTGCATGGCATATTTTGTGCGTCATTGTGTGCATCTAGGGGAATGGACATACAAAGACTAAGTAAATGTACTACTGTAGCCAAAATAGTGTGGAGAACTGGTCACCTAGGATTTAGAAAAATAAGAAAATGAACTCTAAACTGTGCATTTTTTGTATATGTTGCTTAGAAACCTCTTGGCCAATCCGTTCAACTGTAACTGTCATCTGGCCTGGCTGGGAGAATGGCTGAGAAAAAAAAGGATTGTAACAGGAAACCCACGATGCCAAAAGCCCTACTTCCTCAAGGAAATCCCAATCCAAGATGTAGCCATTCAGGACTTCACCTGTGATGATGGTAAGAAATACATGGCAAATCATGGGTCAGTAGCCCTTCATTCAGAGGACCAATGAGATGCTCTGTTGTCCAAGGGAGTATACTTCCTTTAGTACAGTAAGACAGGGTAGCAAGCAGGGCTTATGGGCTGGCAAGAATGTTTTCAAAAGCAGCTTTTAAGACATGGTCCAGTTCCTGCCTAAGGACTGTGCCATGTTCTGCTTTGTTCTGTTCTTTGTTCTTAGCAGCAAATCACTTGTTCTAGGGTTGTCCTTTCACATTCAAGCCTACTTTCTGCCTGTTTATAAATGTTCAAGGAGACTTCCAAGCTCCCAACTTGTAAATGATACTCATAGAGCTTATTTGTAACTTCTTCTCAGGGTGTCTTTTAGGAGCTACCATGTACAAAGGAGAAAAATAAAAGAAAACAAACAAACAAACAAAACCCACTGTAACATAGAAGTGCTAACAAATCAACAAAGTCAGTCGCCCATTTCTAATGCTCTCTGCCATTGCTTTTAATTCTCATTATATTCCTATCAGGTGGGTGGAGCAAGTTGTTTTATTGCCAGTGAGCAGGGAACTAGTTCGAATTCTGTATTTTTAACAAGAGGTGTTCATGTAATTCTCCTAAACATGTGAAGAAAATCTGTCCTTTTATGTACATTTCTTTGCGATTTCTCCTTAACCCAGTTTATGTTGGAATATCCTTACTTAAAAGTATATAAGTAACTGAAAAAAAATAAGTAACTGTTAAAATTGTGTTAGTTGTTCAAAATTTTAAGCTGTTTTTTGAAATTCTACTTTAGGGAACTAGAAAGGAGTGCATATATAGTGTTAATCTGTAAGTGATTTCGTCATAAGTTATTATATAGCTCAAGATCCTCCTGTTTGTCAAATTCATATGAATGTATAAAGTCCACTCTAGCCCCTCCAAAAATTTGTGATTGTCTGTATTTTATGTGATAATCTAGGAAATGATGACAATAGCTGCTCTCCACTCTCTCGCTGTCCTTCGGAATGTACTTGCTTGGATACAGTAGTCCGATGTAGCAACAAGGGCTTGAAGTTCTTGCCTAAAGGTATCCCACGAGATGTCACAGAACTGTAAGTAGAGTTTGTTGGCCTTCTTTTCTCTCTGTTCCTGGGATTGAAGTCTGTGACACAACCGCTGTTCCATAAATTGCAGTTTGGGAAGTGTTACATAGTTAATTTATTTGCAATGTCAAGTGTGCGCTATACTTGATTCCCAGCACAATACTTAACCATATGGGACAATAATTATTTGGAAATAGAAGAAATTGGCATAACCTTTGTTTTTTAAAGGCGACATTGTCTCTTTGGAATAGTCAGTGTCCCTTAGATTCAAAAGGCATGTGGCCAACTGTTTTTCATGCTTGCATAACTGATATCTAAATATAAAGTGCATGGCCAATATCCATCTAAATAGACCTGCAGACGCCAGTCCTTCAGCTCAAAGACCTATGGCTGAATCCATGCCACGTATTCAGAATGTAATACAACAGAAAATCATGCAAGAATAAAGATTCAACTGTACCCAATTCATTCCATTCCTCTACAACTAAACTAGAATTTGATGGGAAAATGTTTTATCTAAATCAAAGGGAGTTTAATTTTTGTTTATATAGAATTATAGATCAATGTTTTAAATCCACATGTGGCTTCTGCTGATATGTGCCTATCATTCACGGAAATGCATGCAAGGACACCACATAATCAGCTATCATCAACATCTGTGCAGTGTGCACCATGGCTAGCGAAGTTCAAGAATGTTTTTGCTTATTGCCTTCAAGGCTTTTGGCTAAGATCAAGTGAAAAGCATGTCTCTTCAGTTTGCCAGGGTCTCATTTTTCAAGTCATGTTCAGTTCATGGATCCTATTTTGGTCCTAAGTAGAACACTCAGAGAAGAAGACACAGTCGTAGCATATGGGGAAAATGTGTTCCTTAGATTCAAAATGCTGTTAAATGTTCAGTTTCTTTCTCTTTCTAACAAACACTAGAGTTAATTGGCTGTAACCACTGTGTTTTGTGTGTTTCATTACACAACTGTTGTTTCAATAATTTTCAGAAGTTTGATATGGACCCATAACCCTTCCCCACTCCCTATTGCTATAAGCCTGCATTCTATATGCAAAGTGAAGCTCTATAAATAATCCAGTGAGGATTATGACATTCACACCCTCGTTGAAATTAAATATTTTTCTTTCATTTTAGCTCACCTTTTGTCTTCGTCTTATTCAAAAAACATTACATATCGTTTCATGGGTGCATTGAGCTCCATTTCTTGTTTCACCATATCTGTGCTATATATGTATTTCTTCACTGAAGTTAAGTCTTCAGTCTATGTCACACTACAGCTCATTTTTAAATAGTCTAAGTTTCTTTTCTATAAATAAAATTTGTTCTATATAAATCAGGAGAATACTAATTCATCTCTTGAGATCCAGGTTTTACCTCCTAGAAAGATTATTCTTAGAATCTTACCAAGTCAGCAGGATCCTTCTTGCCAGTCGTATATATTCTTATATTAGAAAATGTGCCTGCGTGCATGGCACTAAATTATTAAGAATGTCGCAGAATTACAATGTATTGGTGGACAAGTATAGCAAATGGTATTCATTAGTTTTAATCATTGCCATGTATCTCCCCCCATGTAGACATGCAGATTGTTCTGGGTCTTTTTGTCTTGCTGCTACATTTCTGGGAGAAAAGGAAAGTGTTGAAATTCGTGGAACGCTGCTTCCCTCTAGTGGTAGCAAAACCAAAACGAAACAAAACAAAACAGCTAGAAAAATTAAGGAAACAGGGCAAAGCTATGCATAAATATGTACCAGAAATTTGAGTATTCAATCAGAAGTCATAATATGACTTGTAATCTCACATTGACCACACATATGTATAGCCTGTGCATTGTATAGACCTACTTATATTTTGAAATATTATACCTAAGTTAACTTTTTGGCTTTTCCTATCAACATGACAATTCTAACGTCAACTTCAAGATTGGTCACTGCACTGGGGCAGGAAAAGCCACATGTCTAAAGGGCCAGCGTTGTTACCAGTTCCCTCGCTGGCAGAGGACCCGAGTGCTGCAGGCTCTTAAGCTAGAGTCTGTTGTCTGGGAAAGGAAAGCTTTGAGAAAAGATTTTTTTCCTCTTCTTGTGACATCATGGATATAACTCCCAACCTCCATTTTATTTTGTGTCCTGTCAGTTAGCTGATTTCTTTGTGACTAGGCTGTTATGACCCCAATACAAGGACAAAGGTGTACTTTTATTTGAAAAATACTTCTGCATTCTCATGCTTCTTTTTTTGTACTTAAAAAGTTTTATGTTACTCTGTAAAAGCTCTTGAGACCTCTCTCACCAAGGAGATATGTGATACTAAATCTACTTTGAGGTTACGTCTAATTGCTCTTAAATATCTCCTTAAAACTGTCCATTGCTATTTAATGATTATGTCAAGATATGTGTATATACAAGCAATGAAGAGAGTACTCAGACTCAATAGCTAGGTTTAGCTAATAATTCCTCAATTTCATGGTGCTGTCTCTACATAAATATAAATAAACTGGAGGCCACATAAAAACGTAAGTCACTGGATGGACCTTTTTACTGGTACAAAAATGACTAGATGTTTGGCTTACTTTCCTGGCTAAACCACAAAGAACTGGACTCACCATTCTGCCCTTTGGTTTCTGCATCAGCGTAAGTGAACCACAAAGAGTTCTAGATTGAACCTCCGTGTGATGTGCCCTCTACTTGTCTTGAATAATGATCTCAGCTTGGAATATGATCACTCAAGGAGAATTCTGCCAAGTTGTGCTCATCTCTGTTCAAAGTAAATATTGTTCATTTGCTTTGTGATTTCCCACTGCCACTTTATAAGGCGACCTTGTTATGTTCTTGTTTTTAGGTATCTGGATGGGAATCAGTTTACACTGGTCCCCAAGGAGCTCTCCAACTACAAACATTTAACACTTATGTGAGTAGAATATTTTCCCACCTTTAACTTATTTTATTTCATTAAAAGGGGAATGTCAAGCGGCAGAAGATTTAGAGAGCCTTTTGTGTAATATAAATCACTGGCAGTAACTCACCCGGATCGTGGATCACTGTGGTTCAGGATCGCTAGCTCCATCTCTGTGGAATAATGATCTTGTGATGCGGTGTCTTAGGGAAAACATCTCTACTCAAAGAAGCAGCAATCCAATAACGTCTCAGAGGGGAAAAAAAGCTTCCAAACAGTAAAACTGGATGATTTATTGATAAGATATAGATACTTGTTAGAAGTCAAGAAAAGAGTGGGGAATGTTTCATTTTATATAGTAAATAAAATATGGTCAAAACTTTCCTGAAAATACATGTTTTGCTTGACTTTCTTATATGAGACATGTTAAAATAATTTAGGGACTATAAATATTAAATTTCATTTTATACAGGCATGTGGATTTAAACTCTATATAATACAGTGAAACAATGATCCTGACATTCTGAATATAAATTTCAAAATATTAATTATATATTCATTTGAGATTTCTATCTTTAAAAAAATAACTCGTTTCTTTTTCTGTGAATTAAGTGATTTTATGGTGACAGTTTGACCCATTATAAAAATAGCTTTCATAACAACATGTAACTATTTTTTTTTAATTTGGAGTAGAATTTCAACATCCAAACTATGGATTATAAAGCTCCTATCATTTTCACAATTATGTGTGTACTTTTTGCTTGTATTTTGGAAAGTAAATACAAGAATAGATGACCCTTACCTCTTACTGATCTTCCATTTATTCATGTGTTGGATTTTCATCCATGAGAAATAATAGATAATGATTATATATACACACATATATGTATGCTAGCAAATAGGTATATGAATGAATGATGTGATCATACAGAGAATATAATAATAGCCATGTAATATATTTCACAAGTAAAAATTATACAATGCATTCTGAAAATTCCAGTTAGCAACATTCAATGTCTTTACATATTCACTAAATAAATATTTATTGAGGACCTTTTCAGTCAGTGGTTTAGACAAAGGCCAGGGTGTTTTTATGATGACAATTTAATTGTAATGAACTTGCAGACTGTTTCAATTAGCAAATTTGATTATGTGTATTAGTGAACATTTATGTCAGTTGCGGTAAAGAATGGAGAGTTAATGGGACTGTAACAACTGGTGATATATTCTTAACCTTAATGGATCTGTAACAACTGGTGGTTTATCCTAACCCTAAGAATGAATGCTTTGTTATTCTAGTTAATAGCAAACACCATGTCTTCTCTTTTCTCTTTTAGAGACTTAAGTAACAACCGAATAAGCACCCTTTCCAATCAAAGCTTCAGCAACATGACACAGCTTCTGACCTTGTGAGTTTGAAAGTGTGGAACTGAATATTCACTTCTTTGTGAGGCAGGAAGGGTTTACTAGATAAGTCCTGCTGAAGAAGAGAGAGTCTGATCTTATGGAGTGTAAATACCATCTAGAGAAACAGACAAAGCTTCCATAAACCACAGAGAAAAGTTACTCAGAACGTTGGTTTGGTATAAAACACAAAATACTTACGTTCATGACTGTTATTATAAATCCTTACATTAAGCTTTCAGGGCATCTTGGTCATTGTCCTATTGCTGTGAAGAGACACCATGATTATGGCAACTCATAAATGCAAGCCTTTAGTGGGGCTTGCTTAGTGTCTCAGAAGTTTAGTCCATTGGCCTCATGGCAGGAAGTATGGTGGCATGCAGGCAGACATGGTTCTGGAGAAGTATTGGAGAGTTCCACATCTGCATCTTCAAGCAGGAGGAAGAGAGAGGATTTGGGCTTGGAAAGGGCTTCTTGCAGCCTCAAAGCCTGTGACACTTCTCCCAACAAGGTCTCCTCCTAACCCTTTCAAATACTGTCATTCCCAGTGACCAACTATTCAGATCTCTAGGCCTATGGGGCCATTATCATTCAAACCACCACACAGGGCCTGATATCTGAGCCAGAGAATAAGTGAGGCATGTGTACCCAGTGGGGAAAGTTTCCAAGTTACACTTAGGAAGTGTATCATATTAAGATTAGAACACATAGGTAAGCAATGTAAATCATGTATAAATATATTCAATTTATAAACTGCTTAAATAGCCAGTCTCAAATGGCTTTGTTTTAAAATAACGTTTGTATGGTATTAGATTCCCAAGTTAAATAAATTGACATGTTTCCGATTGCAGAATTCTCAGTTACAACCGTCTGAGATGTATTCCTTCACGAACCTTCGATGGATTGAAGTCTCTTCGGTTACTGTAAGTATCCTGTGTTTAATCACCTTTATGGGTACTCTGAGTTATGGGCTATCTTTTGAGTGATGTCATCACTTTGTTTTTCTCAGTTATTTTGTCATGTATGTGCTACGTTTTGCTGTAAATTTGAAATTGGGACAGTTGTCTTTTATTAATACAGGATAATTCCTCTTTGGTAAAACTTGTTGCTATGGTAGTCATTTACTGATAATCTGTAAGACTAAAGCATACATTTCATTTATCTCCAGTTAACTATTATAAAAATAACAGAACAGTGTTTCTTTAGATATCACGTTGTACTTGATTACTTTTTCCCTGAAATGTATGTGTTTGATGTATTCTTCCAGGCTTTGTTCTTTGATTATATCCTAATATCTGTAACCCCACAGCTATGGAACTCTTAACAGACATGAGTAGGATCCTTTTTGGTCTTCCATTAGCTTCTTTTATTTAACACTATAGTATGTTCTTCTTCTAATGTGTGTAGTTGTTTCTCAACTGCTTAACAGCTACAGGGTATTCCTTAGATTGTAGAAACAGCTTTATTAGCTATCTCTATGCTCACTATCATTCAGATTAATGGCAAGTTATTATTATTTCTCATAACACTCAAACAAGCCATCTATACTTTCATTTTGCTACAAATGCTCTAACGTGAAAACATGGTTTAGAAGGGCAGTTCTGCTCATGACGTTGGGATAGTTCCAGAACTGTCAACTTGTCCCCCGACAATATTTTTTGCATCTTTTTATTATTATCATTATTATTATTTTGATTATTACAAATTTTCGCCTCCTCCCCTCCTCCCATTTCCCTCCCCCTCTCCCCATTCCCCCTCCCTCTCCCTCTCCAGTCCAAAGAGCAGTTAGGGTTCCCTGCCTTGTGGGAAGTCCAAGGTCCTTCCCCCTCCATCCAGGTCTAGGAAGGTGAGCATCCAAGCAGACTAGGTTCCCACCCAGCCAGTACATGGAGTAGAATCAAAATCCAGTGCTATTTTCCTTGGTTTCTCAGTCAGACCCCCTTGTCAGCCATGTTCAGAGAGTCCAGTTTGATCACATGCTCCATCAGTCTCAGTCCAGATGGTCTTGGTGAGTTCCCATTAGATCAGCCCCACCGTCACAGTGGATGGACATACCCCTCGCGGTCCTGAGTTCCTTGCTCATGTTCTCTCTCCTTCTGCTCCTGATTTGGACCTTGGGAGCTCAGTCTAGTGCTCCAGTGTGGGTCTCTGTCTCCTATATCCACTCTTCCTCCATCCAAACTGTCCCATTCCCCTAAGCTCTCCCCATCCTCCCCTTCTCACTTCTCTCTCCCCATCTCCCCTTACCCCCCAAGCCCGCCCCCAAGCTCTCAATTTTTGCCTGGCAATCTTGCCCCAGACAATATTTTGTCAGTTAATTAACAGATTCTCTTTTCCACCCACAGTTTCATAGAGTGCTCTTTTCAAAGCACATTTGTAAACTTTTCATACTATTCTTTTAAGAATCCTTTTTCTTTTCTCTGGCACCCTGGAAATTATGTTTCGTCGCTGTTCAGTTAGCATTTCTAATGACTATAGCATTTGACTTGTATGTTTAATGAACATTTGTGGTGCGTGTTCTAGGGGAGCCTGATGGCTTCATTACCCATGACCTGTTAGATAATCTTCATTATGAACACAGACATCTGTTTCGTTACTATTGGTTTTACGTTTGTTAATTAAAGAATCAAATTTCTCTTTCAGGGTTCTGATATATTCCCTCCAGTTTCTTACACACAGCCAGTCCTTCAACAGATTTTATTTTATAGTTTCTGAGATTTATATTGTCCTTTTGAAAGTTTCCCCCACCCTATGACTGTACAAATAGTGTATTTTACTTTAAAGAACTGGTAATTTTAATTTTATATTTAATTCTTCAACCTGGAATTTATTCTGTGCAGAGGTTAATTTTTTTTCTTAATAGATATCTGCTGTTCAAACATAGCTTCCAGAATTGATCACTTTCTTCCGCTGACTTAAGTGTTTAATAAAAATGAAGTCTTTGTAAATGTAGGGATATTCTTCTGAACTTTCTTCTCACTTGCAGGTCTCTACATGGAAATGATGTTTCCGTTGTGCCAGAAGGTGCCTTCAATGACCTCTCAGCCTTATCACACTTGTGAGTACCTGGCTCATGGTTGCAGTGCTGGGATCAGATGCTCTCTGCTGAGCACATTCGGGAGTGTTCTCTACCTCCCCTTTGCTGGAATATAAGCCATACTTGATTCATATTAAAAGAAAATGCAGAGAGTTACAAATTGGATATCTTATCACCTACAAGGAAATTTAAATTTCTCCTTTTGACTGGAAGTCTCCATTAATTGGGTGGTTTCTGCTGAGCTAAAGGTTTAGCCTTTTCTATGAACATAGATTCCCAGCAGCACTGTCCGTTCTCTCGTTGTTCTCTGATTCTTACCCAACTCCACTTCCCAAAGCTGCGTCCCACATACCACTTCCTCTATGAATCATACACCGGTTCAGTCAACCTGGATTCATTTAGACTACAAATATTACTTCTCATTGACAGTAATGCTGTGCAATACTGACATTGGCATGACTCAATATTTTATAGTCGGATAGTGCTTTGTGATGTTTCTTTGTATGTGCTCTCTCCGCAATCCATTTCTAATCTCCATATTTATACTTGCAATGAATATTATACTTGGAATAAATATATAGGTAGAAATAGATCATATATATGGCCATATATATGTGTATATATATATGTATACATGAATGTATGTATGGCTATAAAGAAAAATATATATGTAAAATTCAGGCACTGAAAGTTAGCACTGTTGAATGTCCTGTTACTAAATGTAATTTTAAGATATCAATCCTAGTCCAAGACTAAGAAGCTTCCCCATGTGATGTTACACATAAATCCAGCAGTCATATTTATCTGGTTCTTCCTGAGTGTCAAAGAGACTTTGACCTCAGTAAAATTCACAAGTTTTAGAGATATTAGATATTTAGAAAATTCAGAGAGACATCCTGTAGTTAATCATGTTTTGCCTGAGTTTACACACTCCTCAGATGTTCTGTTCATGAGATACAGTATGAGTAAATAGTTATTTTTGGGGGTGTGGTTGCCACTGTCTGAGAGAATGCTAAAGAAAGGAGGAAATGGAATTAGGGTCCTGGACCAGAAAAGGCCACACAGCATGAAAGATGGCTATCCTGCTTGATCTGAGAAAAGAGTTCCTTAGATGACTCTCGACACAGCAGTGATCCAGTTCAAATGTCTTTATCTTGTCCCTGATCAGCCTAGCTTCTCAGTTATACATTTTTCTTTCATGTTGAGGCCATTAATAACTCTTCTCACCCACTTCTTTCTCATGTCAAGAGACATGAGAAAAATTAGTCAAAAACATCACTCTGCTCATGTTTTGATTTGAACTGTGTTGGGCAAAAGAAACAATTACTTCATTGTGACTCTTGATTCAAATTGGACATTTATTCTTACAATATAAGGTGTTATGATTTTACAAATATATTTTAGAGGGTTTCCTAAAGATGAGATGAGATTATGAGGTAGATTATGATTAAACTATAAACCTCTGTTACTAATCAGAAGGTATTAATTGTGTTTGTAAAAACTGCCTTACCTACCATAACTTCTGTGTCCAAGCATGGTGAGTTTCTGAACCCGCTAATTAATCCACTCATTAGTGATAATAACTTGTTATTAATATTTTCCTCACATATAGCTATTTTAAATAAAATTAGGTAATTATTTACATAAGCGGGTTATTCCAGCTCCTGCAAGCTGTAGTGATGTCAGACATGCTAGCTGCTATCTCTTGTCTCCATTACTATTAATATTCGTATAACTAAATGCAGGCTTCTAAAGAGAGACCAGAAAATGGCAGAACAGAGAAAATGTAAATAAGCTCTGGAGAACAGGCTTCATTTGTCTTGATGATGGTCCTTTAACTGAAGCAACATCCCTAGCCTTTTCCATCTAATCAATATTCCCATATAGTGTAGACTTTTCATATCCACTGTCACCTCCCAGAGAGGTCAACTTGCACATTACAGATGTCTTCTAAATTTTGCTGCTGTGTAGCTACTACTGAAGATAACTTGTGTTTGTCCATATTTCGGTCTCCCTAGAAATGAGAGTTCTTTGGGTGGGGCAGTCAAGAATGAGTTCCTGTTTATACTAGAGTCCTCAAAATCTTGCATGGTAACTGTGTTCTCAGTAAATAATTGGAGAATGCAAGGAGTGCTAACGTGCACTTGGAATGTACTTACATCCAAGATAAATGTGTCTATTCACATATGAAGATACCTTGTAAAGCCCAAGAAACTGTTATCATAATTTATCCCTGCTTCACGAAAATAAAAAAGTGGTAATCTGCAGTTTCGCCATTTTCTTCTAAATTGTTGGCATCAACAAAACCATAGGGATTTTTCTACTGAGCATCACTGTGAACCTGTTCCGTTAGGAAATAACAATACTTCCATACTTGTGTGTGTGTGTATGTGTGCTTTGTGGTGTTCTTTTTCCAGAGCGATTGGAGCCAACCCTCTTTACTGTGATTGTAACATGCAGTGGTTATCCGACTGGGTGAAGTCGGAATATAAGGAACCTGGAATTGCTCGCTGTGCTGGTCCTGGAGAAATGGCAGATAAATTGTTACTCACAACTCCCTCCAAAAAATTTACATGTCAAGGTATGGCTTTTAAGGATTTACAATTCTTTTGAAAAGCTCTCTGCATTCATTACCACAGAAATGGCAGTCTCTTGTGAGTAAACTTCAAAGGTCTAGTTGAAAAGAGTTGGTGATCTCTGCCCACCTACTTGAACAAGGGAGGCCCTTTCCTGTGACTCCTAATTAAAGCACCGAGCTACTCAATCCATCTTAGATCCACTGGAATGGATAGATGTTCTTGAAAATGCACAAATTGAAAATGGCTTTCTTTGCTTCTAATCAATAAAGCGTTTTGCTTTTGCTTTATCTGAATATGCCCCTGCTCCCCTGCTCCCCTGCTCCCCTGCTCCCCTGCTCCCCTGCTCCCCTGCTCCCCTGCTCCCCTGCTCCCCTGCTCCCCTGCTTTTCGCTTTGCCAGGGCCTTGTGGCTTTCTCATCCCAGGTAAGCAGAACCACGCCAAGCCTCCCAGTGTTCCAGCCAGGCCTCCCCACTCACCCCCGCCTCTGTGCTGAGATTCCCTGTGTGAATACTCCCTCTTGCTTGCTTCTACTCCTGCCTCTTCCCTTCCTTGCCCCTTTGCTGATGCACTTGTGCAAATTCTAAATACTATCTTCTCTCGTTCTGAGAATTGTAAATGTAAACATTCCTAGTATAAAGGGAAAATCTAAGTGGAGAAATAAAAACATTAGTAAATATTTTTTGCAAAAAGAAATAAAACTAAGCATTGGTCACATTATGTATACATAATCACTGTTAGAATTATTTCATACATCATTCTATTCACAGAAATCAAATATGTGGATTTAGTTGATAATTTTTGTCATTCTTCTTAACTTGTTAATACTTCTAAAAACCTACTCAGCATTACTAGAGAAGAAAAGAATATTGAAAGTTCTATATGTAAAGTAAGACAATATTATGGAATACAGAGCAGTTTGTGGTGTGATTACTCCATCCTACATTTTCATTCGCTTTAAAAAAAACTAAGCCTCTAAAACTTGTGTTTTTAAAACTGCCTTACATACCCATAAAGAAAAACTTATTTAAGGAAACAACACGGGGTAGTGGCTCACCTCATGCACTGTGAACCCCAGTTGACCTGGTTAAATCCACGGGCTAATTTTCCAGTACCTTAGGAAAACCTAATTTTATGACATAACCAAACTGTGTCTCAGTTTCCTCATGTGTGAATAGACAGGCTAGTATTAGCATGAACTAATTTTAAGATTAAACAAGTGGACAAGGCTGAAGAGGTAGCTTAGTTTGTCAAGTGCTTGCCTTGCAAGAATAAAGACTTGTTCACTCTCTAGAACACATGTGACAAAATAAAACAAGCAAACAAACCTAAAACCAAACAGACAGAGCAGTACTTGATTAAAATCCCTAGGATGGTTGAGATGGAGCTCTAATGTTCGGTAGTCATCTAGCCTAGTATCTTGACTAATTCCAGGCTACTAAGATAAGAAAAGAGGGGAAGGACTAGAGAAGTAGCCCAGTCACTAAATTCTACAGCATCTCCTTGATAAATGATTGCTGTATAAACATAAGAACCAGTGTTTGGATTCTTAGTATCTGAGTAAACGTGCAGTCATACACACACACAAAAGAAGGTGGACAGTGCTTGAGGAACAACAACTGCAGTTATATCCTGGCCTTTATCTACTTGCATACTCACGCAACACTTTTCTACAATTCTCAATTATATGCGCACACACACACACACACACACATTTTACAAAAATGAAATGACTGGGAATGTACAAATCACACTGCCTTAAACATAGAAAACACCCAAGATAGCTATGCAGTTAAGGGCATTGCTCTAACATTCCAAGACACCAACAACATACCATCAGACAACACCCCAAGTTGGGGTAATATTGAAGAAGAATCTAGAGAGATGAGCTAATTTTATTAGAAATAAAAGCATGATTCCACTTAGTATGGTGCTTATTCTTTAATAGTAACAATAACAATGACTTTTCTCTGGATTGGTATACCAAGGAAATCAAAATTGAGAACTCTCCGCCAGTGATGATTTGTTTCGCTGAAGGCAATGCATTCTAATCTACTATTGGAACAATCCACTTAGGGAAATCTCATGAGTCCTGTCTTGTGAGCATTTGTGCTTTATGATCTTGAAAGCAGTAAAATGATGCAGCCTTAAATATTTTATAATTTTATATTTTCATACTTAAATTAACTCCCCCATTATTTATGGCAGTGTAAAATGTTTTTTCTTTATTCATTAGAGTTGGCTAAATACAACCTCTTGTTTTAAGACTTATCAATATGCAATCAAATTACAACAGGAAAACAAATACTTTTTATTTAGACACAATTGCATTGTCAGGTGTAGATGTAATTTTTCTACAAGTAAATATCTGTGCAATTATTTTGTGTTAATGATTTTTCATTAAAGTATGTATTCTTTATTTCTATTATGTTTCCTATATGGCAAATCACATTTTATGATATAAAAAATAAAGAAATTAGATGAAATAGAAGGTCATAACATATTTTGTTAGCAAGTGAGAGCATTCTTGAATGGAAAAAGGTGGTAATGATCATAAGCTGTCTTTGTAGCCGTATGTTTGCCCTCTTCTCATTGGCACTGGCATAATTAAGTAGTCTTCGATCATAAAAAGAATTTTTGCCTTTTCTATTTCTAGTTTTTCACTGAGAAAACCACTGTGGTTTATTGTCATTATTGACTTCAAATACTCCTGGTTTGGTAAGATTTAACTATGCACTTAGCTAAATTATCCACTTCTTTCATTTAATAGACATTCATTAGCAACTCAAATGAATGAAACAGTGAGAATTCTACTGGAAATATAAGATATCTTTTATCCATTAACAAATATTGTTGGAGCGCCTATCAGTTATAAAGCAATATTCCAACATGTTAAGGATCCAGTAAATGATAATTACACTCATATTTGCATGAGGCTTATGTTTTTACAGTTAAAATAATAGAGGATCTAAGTGACAGAAATATGCATAAGATGGAAATATTTAAATATATCTTAATTAGATTAAACAATTATAGATTTTAGTGATAATCAGAATTTTAATGACATCAGGAGGTTTATACATGTGCCCAGGGGACGTGAAGAGTAGGACATGGTGGAAAGGAAAGGGACTGAGATAGATGTCACAGCTAGAAGTCCAAACCAGACAGGGGGACTACAAAAGTTCATTGGGACTTAGTGGTACATATGTATAATCCCATTTACTCAGGATGCTGGGGCAAGAAGAGCTCAACCCTGCCTGAGCTACAGAGCAATTAGACAAATAGTGATTCCCTTCCTCAAGAAAAAAAAAACTGTAAAAACAGAACTGAGGATGTGGGTGTGGATTGCCTAGGATGCTTGAAGTCCTAGTTTCAATGCCCAGTAAACAGGAGTATGAGGAGCACGGGGAGAGAGAGAAAAGAAAAAGAGAAGGGAAAGGAAGCAGAAGGCAAAGTGGAAGAGAAGGAGGAGGAGGATCATCTTCATCACTTCTTTACTTCATTATTTTTGTAGAAAAGCGCAAACAACAAGTAATCCTAGGAACTTCTTATCCTAAAATATTAGCATTACACCATAATCTGCTTTATTGCATTTCTTCACCTAATTTTACATATTAGTAATCCTGTCCGTTCTAGAATTGTAAGGGAAGATACATATCTCTCCATAACGGCATTGAAATAGTAGTGGTTTCCTTAAAGAGATTCACATTTTCCTTTGGGGGAGAAATTTTGAACAGCTTTGAGTTGAAGCCTCTGGCTTTGAACCACAAAATTGTTACATAAAATTAGCCTTAGTTATGAACCAAGGTAAGGAAGGTTAAATAATGTAGCTTAAACTACAGATGATGAAAAATTTACTGGTTAAACCAGCTTGGAAGCATTATTCAAACCCAGTCCAAAGATTTTACATTTTCATATCTCATGCCACTAACTTATAACTTTATCTTTGAAATAACATTAGTTTGGAGGATTTTTTTAATGTGTTCATCATCAGAAGAAAATGTGGATATATAAATAGTTATCTGCAAAAGGCATCACTCATAAAAATAGGGAGTAAATAAATTTTTTGTTACACTTTTTAACATTTGAAATTGCGAAAGATTTAACATGCATATATATATTATATATTATATATATATACAGAATCTAAAATTTATAGTCCATTCTTGAATATTTTTTAGCCATATTCTCCATGATAACACTAACTACCTGAAACATTTATACTGTTTATCCTAATCCATCCTGGCTCAGGAAGTTCTTTCCTGGCCAAAGGCACATAAATACAGCCAGAAAGCATATCCAGTGGGCTCAGAAGACTTTTTAATCACCCATCATCAGCTTTCTTTTTCCATTCTATGCTGGGCGTATGAAAAGAGCAATGACATCTGTCCTGCTGAATCCAGAGACATCATTTTAATTATCCTCATTAGCTCTTCTCGTCCACGTTAGAAGTAGCCACTGTTTCTTCTTTTACATTTTCTTTGCGTCTTTCTTAATGTACTTTTCTGGTAATAAATTTTTTTCTTAGCTGTTCATGGAGTTCAATTCTTAGTCTTATTAAACGCTGAATATATTTGCACCAATGGCAACAAATAACGGGCCATGAAGTTCCTCCTGCAATCCATGATCCTATTTCAATTTCTTTCATAAAGCTTCTGACATAACAGCGTACACAAATTTAAAATGTGCATTTCATCACATGTGCTATCATTGCCCTGAGTTTTTCACACTAATTGGCACATGCAGATCTCTACTGCTGAACTGTAAGGTTTTTGAGGAAACGCAGGCATTTCATTTGGATTTGATCCTCGGAAGCCTAGCATCTTACACAAAGTAGATGCCCATTAATATTTGCTGAATGCTAAATATGCCTTTGATAATATGGCTTAAGAAATTCTGTAATAGCAAGTATAACATACGGCCATACTTTTAAACAAGGTCTCCTTTCAGTCCAATTGCCTGGTATCAAAAGTCCCCTATGTGGAGTTTTCTTTCATGTATTTTGGACAGGAGTTTGTTATTGGACTAGTGTTTCCAAAGGTTCAGAGAATAAAGGCAGGTTCTGGGATCATAGTTAGAATTTTTTTTTTTTTTGGTCTGGAGCTTTTGGTAATAAATCAAAGTGAGATAGGATTCTCAGTGGTGGCTACACTAGGGGAAGGTGCAGAGCTCGCAGTGGGAGTCTTGTAAGCAGGTCTACCCTCAGGCTTCAGTGGATTTAAATTCAGCAGTCTCTCTATTAAAGCAGGTTACAGAGACAGAGTACTAACCAAACTTTCTTCTCATTTTCACTGTGAAATATTAAGTAAGCTAAACACACCTCTGCTCATATAGCCAATACTACAGTGGTTTCTTAAGCGAAGCTTGATCTAAATCAAAACAGGTTAGCATACACTCACCTCCTTCCTCTCAATGACACTTTCAAATAGCCGTCTCTGTGAGGGGAGATGACTTTCTCGGTGGTGTCCATCTGGCTACTTTGTTGGAAGGAAATATCCCTTGGAAACAATTAGCTTCAAATTAAAGGAGAGAGAGAGAGAGAGAGAGAGAGAGAGAGAGAGAGAGAGAGATCACAGCTTATTGCCATTGCTGTATTATTTCTATTATTCGTGGTCCACAACAGATTCACCAATCAAACTTGTGTTTCTACAACATGAAGTCATTAGCTGACTATTATTAGACCATTAAAGGGCATCAGGAAAAGACACGGAGAGAATATGCTGCACAGAAAATGAATTGCAGATTGGAGTCAAGTAAAAGACTGATGATATGACTTAAAATTCTGAAATATAAGTAGGAAAATGAATAGAAACCATCAAGGTGCCAGGGAAATGATTCTAAAGGATTGGACTATAGAGAGAAGCAAAGTTGGTGCAATCAGGGAGATGTAAGAAGGACTATGAGAGCTGTCAGTGAAGAAAAGCAATCAATCATCCTCTCCAACTGAAATGCCAAGGAACCAAAGAATGCCTAGCAAGAAAAGATGTTCTAAAGGATGCAACGGTGGTACCTATATTCTGGAGATTACCAATAGCTACCTTACTGAATTTAAGGCCACTTAAAATGGGAAAGTTCTTGCCTTGCACTGTAAATTCAGCTGTCTCAGTTTTGGTGACATCATGAGATTTAGAGGAGAATTTACTATTGCCACTTACCTAAACAAGTATAATTTCGAATTGCATTCCAAAACTTATTCTCATATCAATATATGAGGGTAGCTCTCACTGCTCATCACAGAAGCTTCCCTCTACAAGAGATGGAGAGCATGACCGGAAGTCACAACTTGTCAAAATAAGTACACTGCACACATTTAAGTATCATGAGAACTGGAGGACCAGAACATTTGCTGCGAGACACTTCTATGGAGGGGGGCATGAAAAATGAAAAGATGGGAGATATGTTGAATGAAGTTAACCTAAGTAGTTACCAAACTGATAGGTTAATAATGATTAAGGGGTGCTATACAAGTGTCCCCAAAGCAAATACCCTTGCTATTGTGCTAGGACTTGTGTGCAATGAAATGTGGGATTGAATTGACTACTACTTGTTTCAGTGACATAGGGACCCATGCAGAAATTGCTACTGGCAAAATATGATGGACGTTCATTTTTCAAAGTATTTGTACCTTCTATGTAAAGATGTGTATTTGCCATTCTGCCAGTCTAGTGAAGTTGCAAAAAGGGAAACTAAGGGTCGTTCACAAGCCATATAGATATTAGCATTAAAGGAACATGGCTTTACAGAGAACAGTTCAATTTTCACGTTTTGGGTCACAGATCATATAGTGCGAAGAGCAGAAATTTTCTGGGGCTGATCTGTGTTAATCAGACTTTTCACAGATTACAAGGTTTCTATAAAGTGTGTTACAAAATGTGAGACTGATAGGTTCATTTCAGCGGTATCTTGTTGCTAGAGAGGATAAACTGGACATATCACCTGCCACATCTTGTACTAATGAACAAAATGACTCAAAAGAATACAAAGGAGTATATAAAAGACACTGCATTTTCTAGATACTGTCATATACATAAAATAGCCCTGGAACTTTTATTAAGCCGACTGAGGTTGAGATATAGGTCATTGCCATGTATAGTTTCCAGAAATGCTATTCAGTGCTTAAAGAAATTCATATCATGACAGTGGTGTCATTAATTTCAGCTTCTAATGACCTAAGCTGGGAAGCCAGAGTCCCGTTGTTACTTAGAGGTCTCATACTGCCCACAGTTCAAAGGCCTCCTTTGGCATTCCTGGGCATGACGTGGTGATACTGATTTCTGGTACCATCCTAGAAGAGAATCGTGTAAAGCTGAGTCACAAATAACTTTACCAAATCTCACCTTTCTACTAAGGCATATAAATGAACTTAGGTGATGACAAAAGGTAACGCATCCCTTTCTCACGTTTGTCTATTCATTGGTAGGTCCCGTGGATGTTACTATTCAAGCCAAGTGTAACCCCTGTTTATCCAATCCATGTAAAAATGATGGCACCTGTAACAATGACCCAGTTGATTTTTATCGATGCACCTGCCCATACGGTTTCAAGGTAAATACAAATCACAGCTGGGATATAACATTTCTATTGTATGTTTTCTTTTCTGTTCTGTGTGTTCTAAGAGCTGGCTTGTTTTATTTGTACTTAACACATGCATTTCTTCTCCAGGGGCAGGACTGTGATATTCCGATCCACGCCTGTATCAGTAACCCCTGTAAACATGGAGGAACGTGCCATTTAAAAGAAGGAGAGAATGATGGATTCTGGTAAGTAGCCTGGCTGTTACCTCCTTTGTCTGACATACAGTAACAAACTAACTAAACAAATGTGCACAGTTCTTCTCAAATAAGAAGCCATTGTTTCAAAAAGAATGTTTGTGCAGAGATCACATATATTAATTTGGTAAATTTTCATATTTTATAGTCGCAAAAAGGAAATGTAACATTTATTTATTGTTGCTAACCATCAAAGACATTACACAAAGAATTGCAGATAATGCAATTTTAAAAATCAGATTCACACTTAATTTTAATCATGTGAATATGTACATCTGTGTGTGTGTTTGTGTGTGTATGTCTCTGTGTGTATATGTCTGTGTGTATGTTTGTGTGTGTGTGTGTGTGCGCGTGCGCGCCTATCTGAGTGCAGTTGCCGCAGAGAGGCAGAAGTGTCTGATTTTCTCACAGTCAGAGTTATAGGTGATTACCTATAACTACCCGATGAAGGTGAGCAATATGTGCTCTGAACCACTGAACACAACATCTGTGAGAACAAACAAAATCCCAGAAGAACGGGAAGAAGCTCATAAAGTCCTGTGGCGTATCACACAGTCAGGCGTGGTGCACCCTATGCGCTGCCATACAACTCGTGAACTGGGCAAGGGGCTGGAGACTGAAATACACAAAGACACACAGACAGAGACACGGGTCATCCTTGATGCCAGAATGCTCCAAGAATGCCCCCTTTATTGTGTCCAGGGGCAGCTTATATAGGGATAGCCATGCCCCAGCCAAACACACCAGAAACTACTCCCCTGCCATCAGGAACTCCTGAGGGTCTCATGCTTAGAGCAGCTGCAAGCATTACAAGTTGTTTACCAGAAATTCGGGATCTGGGGGTTCACAGCTCCCAACAAAGTCCACCCATAGCTGCGGCACGATTGGCAACTGTGTGCTGCTGGTGGAGTGAGGGTCAGTTTTCTTCAAGGCTGTAGCCCTTGAAAGGCTACCCATGTTTCAGTAGAAGTGTCTGCACCAGTGCACATGTAGCTGGCACCAAGTGAATTCAGTGGGTTACACTGTAAGAGAAAACACATGACATTGTGCAGGAAATGTGATGGGGTGCTAAGGGATGAACTGCATGGGAGACAAAAACGGGCGAACTCAATCAAAGTATCTTATATCCATGTATAAAATTCACAAACAATAAAAAGTAGTTAAAATATCAGAACCAGTACTTCTTTATTTATAAACAAAGACCGTGAGTTGTTCCCAGCTTGAGAATAAGCAGGATCTAGGACTGTGTAGGAAATGTTGCTTGTCCTTTGTACTTGAAAATGTATTGTGATTTATTGACTTTGAAGATGATGGATCCATTTGCCATCATTAAGCTCCATAAATTTTCCTTTTTAAATGGTTTCTGGTTTGTTAGCTAGTCCCTTATAATTTCAAAGCATTTGAAAAATCAATTTTGTGTAGTGAAAAGCTTTGTAACTGGTGTATATATTTATGCTTTTTAAAAATATTTTGACCACGAAGTTTTAAAATGCATCCAAAAAATGTCTTGGCTTTACCCCCTGATGTTTAGGTGTGCTTGTGCTGATGGCTTTGAAGGAGAAAACTGTGAAGTCAATATTGATGATTGTGAAGATAATGACTGTGAAAATAATTCTACATGTGTTGATGGAGTTAACAACTACACATGCCTTTGCCCACAAGAGTACACAGGTATGAAGAATAGAAAGTGTTATGTCATCAATTAGTGAAACAATTTAAAAGCATCATCACACTATTATATTTATTTACAAAGCCATTTTATTAAATAACTGGGAAATTTAATTGTAATAACAGAATTACATAAGGACATTTCATCCCACCAATTTAAAGATGCAGCAAGCTCAGTTCAACCCATGCACCCTTTCTTTAAGGTCATGATCTCTAGAACAAAAAGGATGCTGTCATGCTGAAGCTTTTGGTCCCAATAATTCAATGACATTTTCTTTCAAACTATTTCCTTTGTACTATCTTGTTCATATATGTTTTTGCATTTCTTTACATAGCCAAAACATGACACAGCATTTGACATTAATAATGTCCATACTATATCTTCAGTAGCAAAGGCTTACCTCCTTTAAGTTCTGCCCTTCAATTTGTGCTCCTTCAGGAAAGTGAGCTGTTTGAATGTCTTAGGAGACTATTACTTTTTTTTTTTTTACCAACACTTTGTCTCTGGCTGATAAACCTGATCAGACTATTCAAATTGCTAAACTTTCTTTTCAATTTAGAACAGATTTCTATAAAGTCAGCACCAAATTTCTGCCTTGTTTATTTTGAAAGAATAGCTTTTCTGTGTTTGTGGGACTGTGCATAAGAAATGCCATAGTCAGTATTTCCTTTAACAAAGCATCCAGAGGTCATGGAGAAGGATGATGGTACCAGTGTTATTTCTAAAGATAAACACAGAAGTAGATTCTATCACTGTTTCAGGAGCTACTATTTTCATTTTACTTAGTGTTTTCATTGGTCATATTTATTTCATATAACACTCATAGTTGATTTCAAATAGTGAAATAATTATCTAGGTAGCTAAGATTAATAATTCTAAGCATCAAATACAACCATAACTATTCAATTGACTTTTCCAAAGTTCAGAAGGAATAATCTTTGAAATTTCTTGTTATGGGAAATACAAAAATTTGTGTGGTTCTAAATGTCTTCCTTGACAGGAAAGTAATTTTTATTATAGGAAATTGGAAAATAGAATAATGAAGCTCATTTTTAACAACCTAGATGTTCTTAGATCTTTCAAATATTGCCCTTTCCATGTTTTCACAGTAAAACACTGGATGTAGACAGATGGATAGATAGATAGATAGATAGATAGATAGGTAGATAGATAGATAGACATACAGATAGATGATAGATAGATAGATAGATAGATAGATAGATAGAGATTAAAATTGGGTAATTATAGATACATACATATATAGCTATCATGCTAGGAGCCCGGATTTGATCATTCTTTACTGTTTTGCATTAACAAAGTGTGTGGCAGACAGATTTTTGGTGTTATATTGGCTTTCTCACCCATCTCTACCACTATATCACTTGTCAGATATCTTCCTTTAGCTTGTGACCATAGATTTAACTCCCTTGTACATAGGCTGAGCTTATGAGATCTATTGGATTGGCTATTTATATGTGTTTAAGAAGTTCACTGTTAAACAAGAATCTGTTTATTAGTCATACCATGGATCAAACTGCTTTCTTTCTCCATCACTGTTGAGCTCTTAGAAAAGGCTTATAAACCCATGTATTTTTGACTTCTATGAACCCATTATATTTGATTCCACCAGAAAATCAAACTTTATAAGATGATTAAAGCTCTGTATGCTCTTCTAAACACAGAAACCAGGAATTTATATCTTGAGATAACATGTGAGCAAAGGTCCTTGTATACCTTTCTATGATGATTTGCGTAAAGTATAAATACATCCAAGTTAGTTTGGAGCAGGCCCCGCTGCACTGCTGTGCAGTTTTCTAATTCTAACTCTGATGAGTCACAGCAATTCTTCAGTGTTTCTCTTACCTGCTCCGGTCCAGTTCCCAAACACTGCTGTGCCTTCCTAACAATCCATTTCTGTGTGCCCTCCTCTGAGACAAAGATGCAGTCTTCCTTCTCCAACGATGTCAGATTCCATCTTTGCACTATATAACAATAATTCAAAGCTTAGCCCAACCAATTCTTTGCTAAAATGTGACATTCATAAAAGTAGCCAGGGATGACCCCCACTGTGTCTACCTTTCAAAAGCATTTGACTCTGAAAAGGAACCTAGACAGCATTACTCCTTTCATTTGCAGTTATTACAAATAATGCTTTGCCTTCATTTGGGCAAAAGATCAAGACAAATATTGAACTAGAGACTGTGCAGGGCATAGAGCAGAGATTCTACCTTTATTATGTTGGCCTGAGTCCCTGGGTCATAAAGGGTTTGACAACTTGGCAATTGAGAAGATATCTAAATGAGATGAACACATAATTCATCTCTTAACGGTAGAGTTTTGTGTACATCTGAAATGAGAGCATTTTTAAGATGTCAAACAACCATCTTCAGATTTTGAGGTTGGTGGCATATAGGTGACCTTCAATGATAGTGACGCTTATGCCCAAATCTAGAATTGTGTGTCCTGTTTAATCCATTGCTTTACAGAGGGCTTTCCTCAGAATATGTTTTTATTGTTTTACATTTAGGATGGAATTTAGTTAATGAAAGCGAGTTCTGAGAACAAAAACTCTTTACTCACAGAATATAATAATACTGCCATTGTTTTCAAAAATCATCTAAGCTGCAAGGTTTTTTTTTTTTTTTGCCTTTTGATTTTTTTTTTTTACCCTGTAGCTCAAAGGCATACAATGAAAACATGAATTCCATGTGATAGCAGCAAATAAAGCTTCACCATGAAAGCTTGTAAATCATCATGGTGACAATGCTTGCATTTAACATCTATGTCAAAATGAACCACTTGTCCATGGAGAAAAGGCAGAGACCTGAAAAGAATCTGACAAGCAAATCAGGAAACGACAAGTAGCCTGTAAATCGGAGCTACACGTAGTTGAATAAGATAGCCCAGCATTCATCCATGTATAAAGGCACAGATAAACAAACATCACAGCATGGAGTTTATGAATTATTCCCTCCCGCCTCTGCTGAAAAGATTGAGAACATAAAATGTCTGGGTCAATGGTGTTTTTCTGTTATCTACATTTTACTGGATTCTCCCCACGTTACTGATCATGCATCATTCTTTACACACTAGGGCCCTCTCTACTCTCCTAGCTGGAAGAAACCTCATTGCTAGTGTTATTCAGAAAAGTTTAATTTTTAAAAGTTTAGTTCCCTGTGATTTATATTAATATCGGTATGGGGAAAGATGTAGAGATATGAAATTGTTTAAAAATAATTCTGTATTTTTCATTTAGCTTTGGAGATTTGGGGACTTGATTTATTTAGTTTTTTTTTTCCTTAATTATTGCTGTATACTTTCGGTAAACAACACATTTCTTATGGGAAAGTTTTCAAGGACTTCCTGAAGTTAAAGTAACTCATAATATGTAAACTGAAAATTGGGAATGTGGCATTGAAACCCTGGAAAACTTTTTTTAGATGGAATTAGATCTGGAGATGATACGGGACCAAAAAAAAAGTTTTGAGTATTAAATATTGGACTGTGGATGTTTTCCGGCTGTCTTAATTCTGGATCTGTTTTGTCAGGAATATGTGTCTTCAATAATCCTTCTCTCACAGGGCCATATAGAAGTATGTACTACTAGATAATATTTCAAGATTTTCTATTGAATAGAATTCTTAAGCACAATGTCAGTGTCCATATTAACGGGACATGTTTATTCTCAGAGTCTGTCTTATGGAAAATATAGCGAACTCTTTAACTTTCCCATTTTGTCTCTGGGTCCCTACACAAGTGTTTACTTCCCATCTACTCCAGTAAAGCTGCAGGTGTGAATCACACAACTTAGATGCCAATCTCTAGCTCGCTATGGTGGCTTTTACTTTGGTCCTATTCTTCTCCATGTTTGTATGTTCGGCCAGGTGTAGGTGAGACGTCAAAGCCTGGCTGCAGTTTGCTCTCCCACCCTCGCTTCTCTGTTGTTAATGCTGCGCGTGGCTTTGTGTGTGCTGCTGTTGCATTGCAATGTAAAATGTCTTTTGTCTCTTCTGTCTTTGTCGCTGCCAGCTGCTAATCTGAATGAGGTGGAAAAAGGTTAGTTGCTCTTTTTAAGTCTATTATGGTTTTCACTTTAGTTCTCCTCTGTCTTTTAAAGCTGCTAGATTTTACTGGATGTTCTGGGTAAAGATTTTGACAAGAGATCAAGTCAGAAAGTGTTACGTCCAATCATTCCTATAGATCCTTGGTATATGTATAGCTGCATGAAACACTATAAAATGCTTCATTGAAATGCACTTGATTTCTAGTTTTCTCACCCTGAGTGGGAAAAATTATCTAAAAGTTAAGTCTTATTTTTTATTTCCTAACTTTTGAAGATAATCATAAGAATATATTATTTATATAATGAAAAATAGATCCTTTAGTGCAGTGTATTTACTATACTTAGTAAAACATTTAAGGTAGTGAAGATGTATAAGTTTAATTTCATAGCTTTACTATTATGTACTGTGAAAAATATCTGAAAATGTGGATTGAAACATTTTCTATAATATGAATAGGGTTGTGTCTCAATGATAAGGGGTTTGCCTAGCATGTAGAGGACCCTGGTTCCAACCCCAGAACTACAAAAAAAGTAAATGTAAAAATAAAATATGTATATTATATATATATAAGTTAATATACATGTGAATAATATAGTTATAATATGTGCTTCCTATACATGTGAATTCATAAAAAATGTATTATATATGAAGCGTCCTACCAAATAAATATGACAAAGCTCAAGCGATTGATTTATATGGTGAAACTGTCAAGTTGATATTGCTGAATTCAGTGAGTTTTAAGCAGTTTTCTTAAGACATTAGAAGATTTGGTGCATAGTCACTAACCTCAGTGTAGTTACTGGGCTCCCAAACATACCCAGAACTAAGAAGGGGACATACAGTTGGTAGATCACTAGCCACGCTGAAAGCATGTCGCAGAATCTTCATGAACATGTGTTTTATAGACTAAGCGTTCTTACTAATGGCACTGTTTCTTAGTTGTTCATGTTTCTAAATGACTCCAGGTCTCAAGTGCAGGAAACAACAGTGTATGCTAGAATGCAGAAATAAAGATTATCTCCTCATTTGTTGTTGAGGACTTCCTTTTCTGTTACTGTGTTCAGGTGATTACTGTGTTTGCTCACTTATTCATATTGTATACACAGTGAAGTTGGAAAACATAAAAAGCAATTTCATCTGTTAGGCTAAATATAGGACTGCTATACATCTGCTAATGTATCCAGTACTTCCTTGGTTTAGTATCATCTTTCCATTTTGTAATTACAAAAACTATTGATGATCTATCTTCCCGAGGCCAACTCTATCTCCAAATCACACCATAAACTATTCTGTCGCAGGAATATATGCTCTACTAGTAATGTGATCACGTTCTCAAAAACAAGTTTGTCAGTGCACGATTGCTTTAAATCACCATGTGGTTTCATGTATTGACTGTATTTTCCACTTATGGTCACAAAAATCTGTCATTGCAAAGATTTTGTAGTTGATTTAATTTTCTTATAAAGGAAAAGCTTTGTGGTTGGTACTAATGGCAGTAATTTTTACGTCTATAAATAAAAACAGTAAAATGCTGAAGAACAGCATTATAAATAAATGGCACTTTATGATACAGTGTGTACTTACTTGAGAATATACACCATATAAGTATAGGACTACCTGAACCTACAGCATCCACTGTAACTGAGACATCTTTTGCTAGAACCTATCCCACTTGAAGCTACTTTTCACAATACACGACATTGTTAATTATTTATGCAAAACAAGTTTTTCTTGCTGTTTCCTCTGATTGCTAGACACAATCATCCTTGTGGACCTTTGAAACAATTAATTATGTTCCCAAAACTCAAATGCATGAAGGCAGTTTATTTTATTAGATGCCATTTAGAGAAAGGACTTAATCAGTGTCTTAACAATAATTCTGAGAATGAAATTACACTTTGCCCCCAAGATAATTGGTAGTAGGTATAGGGGACTGGAAAGATTTAGTCTTTAGACTTCTATCATGGAACCAATGTCTATAAAACTAGGGCCTCTCTGGTTTAGTTATTTTCTTCTGTGACACAGGAATGATGACTTCTGTCCTTCTCCATGTAGATGTTTGAGAATAAAAACCAAGTAAACCATCTATAGGAAAGCATAGAGATGGGAAATTTTCCTACTTCTGGAATGTTGGGGACCCACCTGCTTTGACAGATTTTGCATTATTTAGACTGTCTGATGTTGTTCTTTCACGTAGAAGAATGGGAATTTGATAGATAGCTCTACCTGAGAGATGTGCACATAAAATAGATCTTTCCCTATTTTTTCATTACATTTACTTTATTTTTAAGTGTTTACTCTTCTATTCATTGTAAATACAAACACTGTATTTAGGGCTAGGTAGTCATTTATCTTAGCCCTTGACATACTGGCGCTTATACAAGAACATATCTACGAAATGTGTTGGACAAGGACATTTTGAAAGCTGAAGAGCTCTTGACAGTGTTTTTAGGCTTTGTGAATCATTTCAGTATTTGTAATCTCTTCATAAGAGGGAACTACCTTTGTTTCTTCTGCATCAAAATATGCAGTCTGCACTTCAAGGTCACTATTTCTATGGACATAGCTGAGGTCTTCCAATTAAGAAAGTTAGTGATGTAGTCTCCGTTATCCACTTTAACTGAGAAAGTACTTTGGCAGTGTTGCAAGGTCATGTGGTTTCTATTCATCTTCCAACCTTTCAGAGCTCTTAAATGCATTTGAATCGCAGAAAACAGTTTTAGGAGAACTGTTTGCTCTCATTAGTTCACAGGCCGTGTCCAGTGAATCTGGAGCAACAGTTTAACTAAACCCGTCTTATTCCTTCTAATTTGGATTTATTTACTTTGAAAAGAGAGTCTAATATTTTTTGGGCTGCTAGTAGCTGTTGAAATTGGCTCCATTCTTCAGTCATAGAGTTCTATGGGGGGAAGTATTAAAAAACACACCCTTTTCATATTTGTTTATTTGGAGAAGTAAGGCTTTCCATTTAAAAGTGCATAAAATGTTTGCTGAGAAAATATCTAAAGTAGGACACTGTGCTAAATATCGAAAGTGATACAAAACCCACCAAGCATTTCGATGGTCACCACCAGCCAATCCTAGCTGTGGTTCTCTGCTAGAGGTTCAAATCAGGTCATGGGCATTGCTGCTGCAAAGTCATCACTTCTCATATCTCAGGAACTTTCACAACTAAACGTAGCGATGTTGCTAGAGACAGACTTTGCCACTGTTGACACTGATTACACTCTGTGGGAATCAAACATGATTGAACAGATATTAATACTTTCATTTGGAACACATACATTCACCCACACGATAAAAATGTGTCTCGCATCCTATGAAGCATAGAGGAGCCTGCCTGTGTAGCACATTCTCTTGAGCTTTTTTATGCTGAACTGTGATTCACTTCAACTTCTGCAGGTTGCCTGTAACACAACCCCCATCATGAGCAAACCACATTTGGTGTGCATTTAAGACAGAGAACAGCTGCCATTAGCTCCTGCATCTTCAAGATGTCACAGCCCTCTATACTACTCCCCCTAATATACTAATGATTGAACTTCCTTGTGCTTAGAAAATGAGGACCATCTTGATAGTTCATTATTGTATGTTGAAGGTCAACTACTTATTTCTAATTGAGAAACAAGTTTCAGAATGACACGCTACAAAAAGCAGTAGACTGTTTAAGAGAATACTCGGGAATCTATCCTCACTTACTGACACAAGTTAGGTCGATCATTGTTGTCATCACTAATAAGCATGCTAAATATTTACACAGGACATTTGACATTGATTTGACTTTGCTAAAATGCTCTGGTGCCTAAACCTGAAATTTTCAATACAGTATGTAACATAGAGCTGACTTAGATCAATGAGTAAGACTAAAATATAAATGTAGTCTATCCTTCATGTCTACAGATTGCTCATCTGTACATTCAACACACCACCAATCAGGAATTTATCAGAGAAATGATCTCTGAACTAAATACAGATATATTCTGTTCTTGTTCATAGCCCCTATAGCATAACAACCATTTGCTTTTATATTGTGTTAGGCAGATTGCATAATCCAGATCTGGTTTAAAAGTGTATGAGACAATGAGCTAGAGATATGACCCAGTGATTAAAAGCACTGGCTGCACTTGCAGAGACCTGGATTTAGTTTCCATCTCTCACATCATGTGGCTATCAACCACCAGCTGAACTCCAGCTGGAGCTCCAAGAAATAAAGTATCCAGTGCCCTCCCTCCTATTTCTTTTTTCTTTCTTTCTTTCTTTTTTTTTTTTTTTTTTTTTTTTTTTTTTTTTTTTTTTGGATTAAGACCAAACCCAGAGGGCCTTATGCTTAGTAGGCAACTGCTTTACCACTGATCTACATCCCACTTCCCAGTGCCCTCTTCTGAACTACTGGGCACATCCACAAACCACACAGATGAGCTGAAGTACATGCACAGGCACACAGACACACGCACACACAATTTAAAAATAATAAAATAAACTTATATAGATTATGCCTAAGTTTAATCAAATTCTAGTCCATTATGCATAAGGGGTTGAGTATAAGCAGTGACTGTTCAAACAATTCCCCAGAGATCTCAAGGCTGACTGTACTTTCCCCAAGCAAGAACAATTGGGACACCTACAGCTTCTATGAGATTGTGTTTTTAGTTTTATTATTCAGCAAACAGAAACACTGAGGTCTGCTCATCTTTACCGTTCTCAGACACACCATTTGTGGGCTAAAAAGCACAGTCTTTCTGTTCTTGGGTTCATCTCCTTGATTTCCTACAGTCATAATCATTGTTCTGCAAAGGAAATTGTAAAATTCTTTAAGAGGCAGCAGATGGCCGACCTAGGATGATGGTCAAGGCATGTGTGCCTCAGAACAGTCTCCAGCTGTTTTACAGTGTTGCTCTTTAGGTCACCTGTGTCTTCTATGCCTTTTTTAACATTTAAAAAATGTTTTCCCACAAGAAGCAAGTAAGCCAGTCCTAACCTTTCACATTGTGT